CCTATTTAGAGCTGTACAGGACATGTACATAGATACTGAGTATGAGAGAATATATTTTAACACTTCAGAATTAAATTACAAGCCAAGTTTAAATAGGACCAATATTAGATAGAGTATTAACAAGTGTTATATATTTAAATATAAACATTCCGAAAGCTAAGTATTAACAGATAATATCGTATGTCATAGCACAGTAGTCTGTAGCCTTGCTTTTAAATGGCAGTCTACTGCGCTAAAGGATTCAGATTGTATTGGCCATACATTATTTTTACATACACAATGTTCAGTATGGGAGAGAAAGAGAGCCACGTGATGTAACTTTTTTCTCTCTCTACCTCTGCAACCGCAAAGGTCAATCAATGCTTGTAATTATTAAAAAAATATATATTTCTTAAATATATTTTAATTTTTATTTTGACATTTTTAGTACTTGCGACACATGTAAGAGAAAATTAACCCCAACTTTAAGACGTAGTTCGTTCGTACTAATCAATAGAGAAGACGAAGTATCGATTGAAATTTTTAACAATATTTCACAATATATTCTATTAATAGCATTCTGAATTCACTAATTCTTTATTAACGTTTAATATTTATTAAGCATAACTTGAAATATATTTTTTCTATTGATAATTTTCTCAATATTCCAAACAAGGCTTAGTTAGACACATCGTATTCACTGCATACCTGTGTTGTGCATGTTTTGAAAATTACATTATATATAATGTTAATAATCAACATAATATATGAAAATTAATATGTAAGTACTAAATTAAATTAGCTTTGACTTTTAATTTAATCGCTTAGTGAATTTACTTTTTAAAGTCAAAATTAAAAAAAGACCTGTAATAAGAGACATTCTCAGACAGAGTTTATTTTCTTCAAAAAAAAAAGAAACTTAGAAAATATCTAGTAAGAAAGGTCTATTTTATTCTTACTTAGTAAATATTTTCAAAACAAACAATAACTTGTTTCGAAAAAAGCTCAAAATTACTGATAAGCATGCCCCTAAGAAAAAAAAACATTAAACATTATAATTGGACCCAGTTATGCAAAAAACAGCCATGTGCGTAAAAGTACCAAGAGTTATCAGCATTTTATTATAAAAAATAAAATAATTATAAAAAATAAACAATACTTATATAAATATTGTTTAATTTTAAAATAACCAGAAAAACAAAACATAACCCAAGTGCAACTATCGACAGAAAAATGCTTATAACTCTGTTGGTACTTTTACGCACATGGCTGTTTTTTGCATAACTGGGTCCAATTTATATTGATCGTTTATATAAATTTTATTTAAACTTCCATTTTCGTTACAATATTTAACTGCTAATTTCCTAAGAAAATATTATGATACTTCAGATTACAGGTATACACTGATTTTATGGCTATCTCTATATATATCTCTATATATATCTCTATATCTATGTCTAACAGGTACATAGCGGTGAGGCACCATGTGATGTATGAAATGTTACCTTTAAAGAATGAAGTCATATATTTAATATTGACAGAACAAAAATGGCGTATATTTAATTCATTTAGCAAATAGCAATAAATAAATGTGAAACTGCCCTAATTTTTTTTAATATTACGTAGACTAAAGTAAATAAATTGGGAACAGACAAATTAAATTAAAAATGTCTAATGCTTAAATACTTTCATTGATTTACGCGAATATTTGACGTTTCACATAAAACTATCTTTTCGGATTTTTTCGTGGATTTATTTTGATTTTTGGTTACCGACGCGACGTTTCGAATGCTTTACAGCTATCATGGTCACGGGAGAGGCTGTCTTTTACAACTATATATGCCTTATACTTAATGCCTTCGAGACATTTAAAATAAATCCGCGGAAAAATCCGAAAATATAGTTTTGTTAAATAAAAATGTACTACATATGAAGTCTTCACAAGCAAGAATATATAAAAAATGTAGTCTGCCCTATTTGTACGTTATTTCACTAAAAGTTTTTGAATTTTGTCAAAATAATCCATATCTGGATAAATTGATTTGATATTATCAAAACATAACGTGTAAAATATGTCAAAATTACTATGAAAATGCAAGAAAGATTTGTAATCCATAATAATTTTTTTTCGATATCGATACTCTGTATTCCATAAGAACCGACGAAAGAAGAAATCAAAATCTAACCAACATATATTTTACCATTTTTTATGTTTATTTATTTTTACATATGACTTTATTCTTTACAATTTGAAATGTATGATATATTGCAATCATGAATTCTAAGAAAATAAATCCTCATTCACACTTAAGCTATAATTCTCATTTTTATTGTAAAGTAAATTTTCTAAAATTAAAAAAAAATCATGCATTGTACTGTCGACAAAATATATTTTTCTTGCAAAATCACAAATATAATACTCTTTTACTTTATTTATTAAATCTGTCCAGAAATAAAATGTACAATAACTGTAATATATTAATGTGCGTACATTGTTCTCGTATTTAATTTTTTTTAAAACATAAATTGCGTTCATTACAAGCACTATGTATTCCCAAAACCTAAATTTAGTTTTTGAAGCTTTGAGAACATATTTACATAACAAAAATATGTATACATTTATTTTATTACATATATATGTAATAATATATATATATTAATAGATATTAAATATTTTTTAAAACAAAAAGTTTTATTTCCTATTAATTTTAATGTTTGCAATACGTTTACTTTTTATCTATTAGCAACATTGTATTACAATAGCTGTCGTTGGAATTTTCCTTCAAATATATTATATATGCTTATCTATATAACATTCTCCCCAGTGCATAAGAGGAAAGTGTTGGTTTTATACGTCTATGTTATTTAAATTAACCAATATTATTTAAATAACAGGCTCGTACGTCTTAATGTGATAAATGAAGGGTATAGGCAAAGAATATCGAATGACACAATTTTATTTATTTTTTCTTGTTTTGTTCTTTATTCAATGGATGTCGCTAAGAATACCTTTTTATCTTTGCCCAAATCGAAAAGAACTGGGAATGTCTATGATATACCAATAAAGAAGAATTGTCTAAAAATTTACATAGTTTAAAATTACTACATATTTACTTTGATCTCAATAAAAATATAACTTTTAAACTTAAAATTGTTTTTTTATCATAATCTATTCATTATGAAATTCCCTGTTCTTTGCCTGTACCCTCCAAATGAGTACAATGTTTCGAAATATTCTTCAAAAATAAAACAAGGTTTATTTAACTGATAAAATCGTTCGATATAAATTGATTGAAAATAATTCTACGGGCTGCCAGAAATTACAAAATAGTGTTATATCTATAGAGTATTCGTTCATCAGTAAGAAATATTATGTTTCATTGATAACATTGTCGATGCTAGCTGCGTTTATTTTTAATTATATATTATATAGCAACACTAAAAATTTAAATAATAAGTAAAGATTTAAACACTAAAACTGTATCGAAAATCTTATCACGCATTTAAATTTGTAGTTTAGATACTAAAACAGCATACTTATAGTCCAGTCCAATTCTGATAAATCACCTTTAAAGTAAACTAGATTTACCAAAAATATTAACATTTTAAATAAATTATAATAGTATTATGAAAATGTTAATGTAATGATAATTTTCATATCTTTCATCATCATTTAACTATCCCAAAAATTTTTTCAGTTATATTATCGCACCGTAAATGATGTTGAAATAAAATAATTATCTTGCGCAAGAATCGAACCCGCGACTTTCTGTGAATTTGTTTATTCTAATTAATTGGCCTACTTACAATAATGACCTAGTGATATTGTCACTACAGAACGGCAAGTAAATTTCGTTATAATAAATGACCTTCGCAAGATTCGGGTTCATATAACGCAGAATTTCTTTATAATGAATGCGAGAAAACAGACATAACAATATCATACACCATTCAGACCATCTAAAAAGAAAAAAACTTGACAAATCATTTCATATGAGATTTCTTAGAGCCAATACAATCAATTATAAGATAACCAAACAATATACAAATATTATGATAATATTTATAGTTACGACGTCATTTGGGTCTAGATAATATTTATGACGTCACTCAGGTCTAAAATGGCAGGCGGACGCAAACGTAGTTACGATCTCAGCGAATCTTGACAAAATGACATCATAGAGAATTCTTAGAACCAATGCACGTATGGATCATAAGATAACCAAACAATATATAAATATTATAATTTGTATAGTTACGACGTCACTTGGGTCACCGTGTGTGTGATGTCATAAGCATTATCTAAATGTTTATGACGTCAGTTAGGTCTCAAAGGGCAGGAGGGCGCAAACGTAAAGTTCACTTCATATAAGAATACTTTGAGGCAATACACTATTATATGGATCAAAAGATAACCAAACAATATATATACAAATATTATTATCATATATATATACCTATAGTTACGGCGTCATTTGGGTCTGAGTAATGTTTTTGACGTCACTAGAGTCTAAAAGAGCTGAGGACGCAAACGCAAAGCCACGACCTCAGTGAATCTAGACAAATCACTTCATATGAAAATTCTCAGAGCTAATATACACATGGAATATATAGAAAAAACCAAACAATATACAAATATTGGTAGGTTTATATCGTAACTTGGGTCTAAAAGGGCAGGGAGATACAAACATATATATACGATAGCAGCCAATCTTGACAAAATACTTCAAATGAGAATTCTCGGAGCCAACATACACATGAAATCATAAGATAACCAAACAATATACAAATATTATAATTATATGTTCAGTTACCACGTCACTTGTGTCTAGATAATGTTTATGACGTCCTTTTGGTCTAAGGGCAGGGGTAAGTAAAAGTAAGTATGGGTAAGAGCAAACGTAAAATCACGATCTAAGCGAATCCCGACAAATTACTTTATATGAGAATTCTTTAGAGCCAATACATGACTCAAAAGATGACCAAACAATATAGAAACACATGGTATGTTTATGCCATCACTTGGGTCTAAACGGGCAGGGCGGCGCGGGGCGGCGCGGGCGCGGCGCCGGCTCGTACACCTCGTCGTACACACACTGAGCATCTATTTCACTGTACACATTACTCGCTTCATTCACTTCGTCATACACAGACGAACTATAATCCACATTCTGATACTTCAACGCGGAATAATTCTTAGAATTCTCCCTACATTCGCTGAAATTCTTCAATTTCTCCTCAAATTTCGGCTTGTACATGTTCTTCTCGTAATCATTAGAGCTCTGGCTGCCCGAAGGTTTTGAGAATTTCGTGTAATAATCTTTAGTTTCTAAAATGAACTGTTGCTGGCTTGGATTCATGTCGAAATTACTGTAAATTGGAAAATCGTTGTACGTTTCGGTCGGTTGGTAATTAGATGTGGACGCTACTTCATACGGATTGCTATTAGCGTACATGCTCTCGTTTGTGTTTTTCGATCTGAGATTTAGGGATTCTGAGATTCTATCATCCAACGACATATCTGCGAAGGAGTTGATCGATTCATTTATTGCTTCCGCTTCTATAGAGAGGGTGTTATTCGAAACTGCGTTATTCGGCAACGTGCCATATTGACTAACGTTATTCAAAGTCATATTGTTGTATATACTTGTTTCTACGCTAGTCGTGGCCGAGTTGCTTTGAGATTGGTATTGGCTATCATCTAATTGTACGCTATAATTTGGTCTTTGAGATTCGGTTTTCGGCCAGAACTGTGATGTGTCGAATGGATCTGGACTCGTTTGTGAGGTGACGTTCAACCCGTCTAAAGATTTGGCGCCGTAGAGATTCGGATATGGCTGGTTTTGTGATTCTGTACAGTATGTGGGTAGACTTTCTATGCTTTGTTGACCCCAGTCTAAGTCTTGACCTGAAAAAAAAGATCAAAAATACGATATAGATAGCCAGATACATAATCATTACATTAATATTTTCCTAGTCAACATTGACACTTAATAGATTGGAATTATACAAAAACATAATAATAAAAAAGTTATACTTCTTTGGCGTAACAGAACAAAAATAGGTAAAGATTTCATCCCGTGTGTCACAACTCTCTGTTTGTAAATAGACTGTAGCTAACTTCATCATGTGCGAGCATCGTAAAAATTTTACTCTCATATTTTTTCCAAACATGCCAAAAGAAAGAAGTATACCTTCAATAATAAGCTATTTATTCCGCATTTTGAGTATATATTTACACTTACAAATAATAAAAATGTAAGCTGAAGAGAAACTATAACTTGTCCCGTAGTTCGGCCTGCCTTTTGGCATAAGCCTCCTCAAATTCATATTGTGCTTTATATTCTGTAACTCTGGTCCAGTATGGTCATATACAAAAATATGACGTGTGACAAAATAATTAAGTTAAATAAAATGAATCTTAATAACTCACTTATTTCTGGTACGTCAATAGGTTCATCAAGAATAGATATTTGGTGTGGGTTCGTTTGTTTCTTTGACGGTGAGCCCTTCGTCGTCGATGGTGGCAAGTCTAAGTCGATGAGTAAGTCTTCTTTTACTGGAATAATAGAGGAATATAATTTAATTATCCGTATCAATTATGAATATATGTAATTTAATTGTACATTAATAAAAAAATAATCTATATTTTTTAGGCAATCGCCAATCGTGTGCTTTGCAGCAATCAGATCAGTCTCTACCGTGACCATGATTGCTGTAAAGCATTGGAATCCAAAAATTTTTTTTAAATAAATCCGAAAAAAAAGGACGAAAAAATAGTTTTCTTCAAATTTAGTAACTAACCTTGACTCAAACTCTTGGAATAGTAATCGCGCGCGCTCCTCGCCCTGTCGTTTACCAGCTTGTTGTAGTTGAAGTGCTTGCCGGCGGCGTCGCGGGCGCGCGTGCTGGCGGGCTGCGTCGACTCGATCGTGCGGCGCTTCCGCAGTATCACTGAGTCGTCGAGAATACCGTTGTTCGGTTGGTTTGTCGCTGAAACGTTTCCATTTATTATTATTAACACACAACACCATCTAGTTCCATGGTAATCTACGAGTCTGGTGTTATAGATAGATAGTTTATACACTACACATATATAACTTTAAATATATACATATTATAAATATAAACACCCATGACTGGAGTACAAACATTCGTGCTCATGACAAAAATGAATGCCCCCAGCGGGACTCGAACCCGCGACCGCTGACATAGCAAGTAGGGTAGCAAACTGAGCCAAGCGTGTCTCAACATATTATTTTGATATAATAATATGTTAGAACTTAGGACCTTTTAATATTTAATGAGCAATACTTGTATATACATATACTTTATTTCGTGTATCTCGAAAACAGCGCTAACGATTTGGATCAAATTTTATATTTAGGTAAGGTTTTATTTTTTTATTTATCCGTACAAGTCTTTTCTTTAAAAAACGAGGTTTTATATCTCTCTCGAAAAAACAGCGAGTGATGACATCGTCACCATGTGTAATCTCAGAAACTTTGACAATCTATTTTTACACAGTTTTCAATATTTTTACGGTTTTTGCCAATAGAAAGAGGCAAATACGTTAAAAGCTTCTGCAGAATTATAAATGCGAAGGGCATGTAAGGACGAAGTGAAGTGAGAGTAAGTCACTAGTATCTTAAGTCGATAAATCCGAAATCGAAGTCAATAGTTTGTTAATTGTGGGTAGGCTGTCTGTAACAACTATACCTTCAAGACATGTAACACCTCAGTCTCTCCCGTGACCATGGATGCTGTAAAGTATTCGAAACGTCGGGAACCAAAAAATCTAAATAAATCCGCGAAATAATCCGAAAAGATAGTTTTATTTAAAAAAAACAACTGGACCTATTTGGACTTTTTTATTATGTTCGTAAAGATCCAAATAAGATTATTAGGGGTTAAAAGCTGAAAAAAAATGACTGTAAAATCGATAAACGCAAGAAAATTAAAATTGCTTTTTCATATGTTTTCGGTAAAGAGTTTAAAGCCACTTGGTGGGTTTTATGAGCATTATAAGTATTACATATTATTACAATTTATTAGTAATTTTAGATAGTATGCAGATACAAAGAGGTAGAAAGTTGTAAATGGCAATAAGCTGAATTTTTACTATGCTAATTCCTTTGAGCCGTAACGGAAAGAAAGTGTGGGATAAGTTTATTTTAATTGGATTTGCAAATGGTTATTAAGATGCATCGTACATAACGATTACAGCGTAGTAAAAAACCGCAAAAACTATTTAATTTATATCATTGAGTTGGCTGGAACAATTTTAAGAAAATTCTCTTTGTTGTACAGATGATACTATTATCGTTCACAGATCACCGTTCTTCACGGTTTTATTAAAAGGGTTTGTTGGTTTGTACATAAATAAATAGATAATAAATAATTTATCATACTAGATACTACTAGAAAGTGTGTATGTTTGTTATTCTTTCACGCTTTAACGTCTGAACGAAATTAGGCTAAAATTGACTATAACTGGGACCAACACATAGGTTACGTGTAGGCACCTAAGGATGCATCCGAACGAAGCTTTGTTCTTATATTTCACTAGTTTTTATCCGCAGTTTGCGTGGAGAAGTAGCAAAGGCACTCAATAATAAGGCGCTTTTGTATTCAGCCTTAGTTTTTTAAACGTCCCACTGCTGGGCACGGGCCTCCCTTCAATACGAGGGGGATCAGGCCATAGTCCACCACGCTGGCCAAGTGCGGGTTGGCAGACTTCACATGTCTTTTGAAAACTTGCTAGGTTTTCTCAGACATGCAGGTTTCCTCACGATGTTTTCCTTCACCGTAAGACAAATCGTAATCATGTTAGAAATGATTCGCACATGAAAATATCAGAGGTGCGAGACCCTGAATTTGAACCCGCTTCACTCGCTTTCCCAAGCGAGCGCGTCACCACTGGGCTACCACTGCCTTTTGCATATTTGTTATTAGTATAACAACTGATAAAAATTATTAGTCATATGTGTGTACTACATACATATATAGGAAAACATAAATTGATATTAACAAAGGTGTGATATATCGACATACTGTTATACAATCAGTCACAGCGCACTACGTCGTGGTAAAACCATTTAGTCATAGATTAGCAATTTTCAATGCTATGCATCTTTTGCGTCGTTATTTAACAGTTAGGTACATCGTGTACGTTTGAATAGATTATAAGTTACGTAATTAAATAAATGTAGTCTACATCTATACTAATATACTAATCTAATATATTTAAACGAGCAATTCTATATATATATATATACGTCAAACCAAAATTTATAGTGTGATTCAAATTTATTTTAAAATATATAAAAAATAACATTAAACTTTAATTAAAAGTATAAAAAATGTTTTAAAAGACAAAAATATCGAAAGTGTATCATATTACAAGACATAATCAGAGATATATATAAGAGACATATCATAAGACATATATCGATAAACAATAGCATTCCCAAGGAGGGTTGACGTCAGGCAGGCGGCCGGTCGTAAAACTTTTGCCAAATCCTATCAGCAGTACAGAGGATGTACTGCGCCGACCCCAAGTGATTGGGAAATGGGCAGGGAGAAGAAGATATATGTGTGTGTAATCTGAATCTCGGCTCCAACGATTTTCATGAAATTTAGTACACAAGGGGTTTCGGGGGCGATAAATCGATCTGGATTAGTCTTATGTCTGGGAAAACGCGTGTTTTCGAATTTTCATGCGGTTTTCTTTTGCATTATTCCACGCAAAATATTATATTCGATAATTTCGCACGCTCGGGCATAAGCATCATGGTCAAGCGACCAAAGCGCAAGATTGAATAAGTGTCCGGGTTCGAATCCCGGTCGGATACAGAGGTATAATTTAGTTTTGTTTTTTTTTGTATTTATTCAAGTTTTTTTGTTTTTTTTTTAAAGAAAATTGTACTTTTGACCAAAAACTCCGAGCGAAGCACGATGGCCCAGGTACTATTATTATAAAGAGGTAAAGTTTGTGAGGTTGTGACGTTGTACGGGGTAATCTCTGGATCTACAGAACCGATTTATGTGCATTAAATATTTTTTGGAAAATCTTATTGAAATAGTTATTATGATAGATACAGAAGCCGAATCTATAGTTTTTAGAATTTTTGTCTTCTATCTGTCTGTGACTGCATCACGAGAAAACCACTGAACAGCTTTTGATGAAATTTGGTGTGATGATAGCTAGTTATCCGGGTCAACATATTACATATATCACTAAGAAATACATCTCTAAGAAATCTAAACGTCAAAACGTACGACGAAAGTTTTACTTTTAATATACGAAAGTGAGTGTGTGTGTAAATTTCGCTACCATTAAAGGAGTCCCACATAATACTAGTATTGAATAATAATATGTAATAATAAATATTGTTTAAAATTCAAGTCCAAATATAAACTTCATAGTATTCTGTTAATTAAAATATCTAAATGTTGTAGTGAAAGAAATTAAAACAATTTTTGAGGTAACTTCATCCCTTTTATTGAATATTATGAATGTGAAGGTTTGGACAAATGGATGTTTGTTAGTCAATCACGCCAGGACGGCTAAACGGATTCAGATGAAATTTGGCACAGAGATGAATTAGTCTGGTATAGCAGATAGGTTACTTTTTTCGTCGGAAAAATGTACGGTTCCCGTGGGATAGATTTTTTATTGTTTCTCACTAGTGACGAACCCGAGAGAACCAAGGGTGAACAGGTAATAGTTTATAATATGCATGACATAGAAAATTAAAATTTTACATCAAGTATAATTTTTATAAATAGCTGATCTCTCATATAACTACTAAAAATATAATAAGGCATTGAATTTTCAAATCATACCTTTTCGAACGGGTGATGCTGTTTGGGCTTTTTTTGCAGCTTGGACATTCTTACTCTTCACTGCCGTCACCAGAGTACTGTTAAATAAAAAAATGGCAACTTTTACAATATAATTATTGTCTCATCTCACAAATTAATGCCTATACTTTTCTTCTATTATTTATTAGAATATTTCTCTTAATAAATAAAACTATTTAAAATACAAAATCCTTATATACATCTCAGACAGAAGGCGTAAGAGTATTTGCGTACTAAATCCCAAAAAATAAATATTTTTAACAATTGCTCAACAAATGTTTAGCGATATTTTTATTAATTGAGATTGACTGCTATGGCCGTAATATTAGTATGACTTTTGGTATTGTACATGAAATTTAAGTATAAAAGTAAAATGTTAGAGATAGAACTAAGTAAGTATATGTAATAGAAATACGGAATATGTAATAAGTTATAAAAATAAAAAATACTAGTAATAATAAGATAAATATAAAAAAAATGTAAAAATACTGTAAATCTAAAGTACAAATAGAAAGTAAGATTATATGTAGAATACCGCTCAAAAAACAATGTAATAGCAAGTAAGAAAAATTGTAAACAAGGACTCCGACTCTCACATCGGAGGTGTGTATTGTATTAAAAATATATATATATATATTAGTATGACACAATAATCATAAATATAATAATGGACCCAAAGAATATAACGCCATTATTAAAGACAATATGAACAAGACTGTAGTACCTTGGAAATAGTCCCACTTCTAAGCTCCTCTGGTTCTGTCCCTTCCACCAGTGCAGCTCCGGACGCTTGTCTATCAGAATTATCGCGTCGCCAGCTTCTATTGTCATCTGACCTTGTTTCCTATAGCTGGAAAGTTACATAGCATTATAAATAACATACTAAGAGATGTACTGATAGCAAAGACTTGTGACTTGTGAATCACTTCCAACATGATTACCACTTGTCTTAACGGTGAAGGAAAACATCGTGAGGAAACCTGCATGTCTGAGAGAACCGAGCATGTTTTTGAAAGACATGTGAAGTTCGCCAGCCCACACACGGCCAACATGGGATGGGTAGGGAGGCCCAGCAGTGGAGACGTTAAAAGGGGCTCCATACAATATTAATTACTTGAAATAATGAATGTAAAAGTTTATTTTGTATTAAAAAAAAAACATTTTCTCTATTACCTCTTTTTAAATAATATATGTATATTGTGGTAATATATATTATTGTATGATATATATTATAGTAGTGGATTTTCACAACAAAAACAATTATTAAAAAAAATCTTTTCATTTAATAAAACATTTATATTTAAATAAAACTGTTACAACGTACAACAAGTACGGAGGGCAGTGTGTCATTGAATTTTGTTAGCTTAGTCTTCGTATTAGAGTTCATTTTGCAATGTAAAGCTTACTAAAATATATACCTACCTTGTTATAAGTTGTTAATGTTATTTAAGTTATCTAACCTGTAATATATAAATAAATAAACAATAAACATAATTATATACAAGTCCTAAGTATGAAAAACAACATATTAAAGTGAGCAATAGTCGAGTATCTTGTCGTATTTTCAGCTGATTATTAAACCCAGCTCTGAGTACAAAAGCAAAATAAAGTTTTTTGTTTTTCAAGACCACAAACTACTTACCTAAGACTAGCAATCGCCGTTTCGAACTTATTCGTCTCCATATAGCGCAGTATGCCCGCAAATGTGGGCCTTTCCTTCGGGTTGAGCTCCCAACATTGCATCATTAACATATAAACGTCTGGCGGACACGCGCTCGGGGGTGAGAGACGTTGCCCTTCCCGCATTATTAGCCGAAGAATCTCTGAACCGTTTAAGCCTAAAAAGAAGATGGTTAATGTATCAAAAAATCTGAATGAATGAATGAATGAATGAATTACTCTTTATTGTACACCCACAAAGAGAAAAATAAAATATACAATATAGAAGAAGGTACAAGAGGCGGCCTTATCGCTAAAAGAGCGATTTCTTCCAGGCAACCTTTAAGTGTAGGAAATAGTACTAAGATGGAAGGGGCGCGAATAACAAATAAAGAGACAATAGAAAGATTACATATTTCTACATATACGTACCATACAAATATATAATATAATATACAAAATAAATACAAGTAAAATATACTTAACCAATACCTAAATACTATATCTGTTGACATAAATGCCAAACAATAAACTAAATGTTACTTGGGGTCATAATTTATCTTTATATTAAACTAGCGGCTCACCTCTAGAAAAACAAGAACAAATCTATCCCACGGGAACCGTACATTTTTCCGGGATGATAATTAAATAAATATAAAGATGGAAAAAAAAGTTATTCCAGACTATAATCTATCTCTGTGCCAAATTTCATCCAGATCCGTTCAGTCGTTCTGGTGTAAAAGTGTAACAAACATCCATCCAAACATCTAAGTTTTCACATTTATAACATATCACATTCATCTATCCAACCGTTTCAGCTTGAAGTAACAAACAAATATACATATTGCATATACATTAACTTTCACAAGAATAATAGTAATCAAATATATGAAAAATTATATAAGGCAGTACATAGTAACATACATATGTATATAGAAACATATAATATCGGCGATCTATAAAACTCCATACAGGTAGAATAAAGTGGGTGTTGGGTTTTGAACAAATGTGAATGATAACGAAAGTTGTTTCTATAACCACCTTAGTTTACATCCGACAGTTCGCATGATTTTCATTAAATGTTTTTTTTTTTAAATAGAAAAATAACCGTAAGGTATCGGTACTTTATACGGTAATCATCCTGTTTTTCATGAGTGATGATAATTTATGTCTAGCGAGCTACCACCCTCGATGTACAGAATACAAATTTTCGCCACAAACTAAATAGATATTTGAGCACCAAAGACTTATTGTCCTTTTTATTAAATTTAGGTTTTATTTTGTCGTGATTTTTTATTTGCTTCAAAAATTTTGAAGGGTTATCTCATAGTAAATTTGAGACAAATTAGCCTAGATGAGCAATTTTTTGAAGCTTTGAGAGTAGTTTTGTTAACCGGTTCAGATTTTTCGCACAATATTTTAATCACTGTATTGATACATCTATTGAGATGGCGCCTTCTAAATTCTCTTGTTAAAGTATTAGGGCAGATACCTACCTATAGCGTATTGACAAAACAACATCTTTGAGAAATATAACTATGTAGTATTTATTTAATTTATAAATAGTTAAATATTTGTGGACGCGCAATGTTGTATGTAAATAATATTCCTAGATGAAACCACAAATGAATTTTAGAAATTCAAACAACAATAGAACACGTTTACATTTAATTTTATATATATATATATATATATATATATATATATATATATATATATATATATATATATATAAAAAAAGATTATATTAATTTTAATAAAAATTTTATTAAATTATTTTTATTCATGTTATGCAATACATAGATCGCGTGTCTTACGACTTATGCTCGAACACGCATAGCACCACCGTATGAATATTATATTGTAAGAGGCATTGTATCTACTGAATCAACCTTCAGTATGTTTTCCAAATTACTAATAGGGTGATTAAATAAATATTTATAGGCATTTCTAAGTATAAATCATTAAACTTTTAATTATTTTTTTCTAATAAAATAACTTGTAAAGTAGCAACATTTTTAGTTTTACAATCGTTGATGTGCTGCTCTGATGCTTAAATCGATAGATTTATCTGCGCCGTGAAAATAAACAGTTACCTACCCATGCGTATTCATTTCAATGTCAGTTGCTAATGCAATTAAAAATATATATGCATCACAATCTATACATATATAAAATAGTAAACAAGCGAAGCCCGTATACAAAATATGGATCTTAAAACAATAGTTCTTAAAAATTTTGTCCGTTTGTATATCTTGTGTGCCTTTTACGCAAATGTACTGCACCGATTTTAATCAAATTTTGTTTAGTGATAACTTATTATTCGATTCAAATTTTCGGATACTTTTAACTGCAAGAAAATGATTTCATTCCCACGAGAAACAACAATAACGTGCTCTGTCAGCCGTCCTTAGTTTATATGGCTAGTGCTAGCTAAACTTAAAGAGATACATCAAACAATGCACTAGAAAATTGTAGATCTTAATAAGACCTACAGAAAAGTCCCCAATATCATAATAAGTCTATCTCCTAAGGTACACTCGCAATAACTATTTTTACCTGTTTAAAACGTACCTAAATCGCTAGTTTGTAATTATTATAAGCAATCAAAACCCAACACTCATATTTGGGTAATTACATAAGTTTAAAATGTATTGGCAAATTAGCATCACGTTATTTTTTTTTAATAAAAAAAAGTTTTAATTTAATAGTAAAATTATATTAGAAATTATCAGTTTTTTGTTTTATAAACTGCCTGTATAATAACTGTGGGAATTTATAAAAACGCATACAACCATTTATCTGCATGTAATTGTATTGTCAAGTGAGAATTATTATGACAAAAGCAATATGGGTATATATTTAGTGGTCAAACATGAATGCTAATGTTGCAATAATTTACTGCACCTAAGGTTCAAGATTTGATTGCCGTAAAAAAATTGCAAAAGTTGGTCATAATACATATTGCTGAATAGTCTAGTTTGGTCAATCCAAACCATAGACTACTAAGCATAAAACAATACATACCTACCCATAGTCTAGAATAAAGGCAAAGATAATAATATATACTATTATTGTATTAATTTCTGTTTATTAGTATAGGTTATATGCTAAATTTATATTAATATTATATGTATAGACGAGATAGTGTGGTGGTTGACTAAGGCGAGTTCCATAGTAAATTTCGAACTTAAAACACTCACCCATCCATGGCTCCTCTCCAAAACTGTACATCTCCCATAGCGCAACAGCAAACATCCACACATCAGAAGCATGAGAGAACTGCCTCGACCGTAAAGACTCCGGTGCACACCATGGGAAGGGCACACGACGACGTTCACTCATCACATAACAGTCGTCTGCGTCTGGCAAGGCTCGCATCAGACCAAAATCACCTATTTTAACCTGTTCATTACAATTAAATCTCATTTATGACATGATATAGTAAAGAAATCATCGATAAAATTGCGTATTTAAGAGACCCTTAAGTCACTTTCATGACAAGGAAATTATATATCATGAAAAACTAAAAGGGGTGAGATGTCCCCCTGAAAAGATATCCATAATATCAGCTTTAAGACCAAAGGTTGAGTAAACTTTTTAGATGAATAAGCAATAATTAAATGTACTATAATGAAAAATTCCCACCCCCAAATATACAAGCAAAATCTCACAGACTATAAGAGATATCTATATAATATGTACTATATTTATTTAATTATTTATAACATGATGTGTATTTTTTATACATAGTTATTCATTTTCTTTATAATGATAAATAAAAAACATTCATTCACATTACCACATTTATAATTTCAGTTTGATAAAAAATATTACATCTACATAAATGATTTCAATCCCATAAATATTATAAATGGGAATATTTGGATGGATGGATGTTTATTACTCAATCACGCCAGAACAGCTGAATGGATCGGGATGAAACTTGGAAACAAAAAGACTGGATGAAATTTGGAGACACATAGAGATAGGTTTAATCTGGAATAGTACACAGGTTACTTTTATCCCAGAAAAATGTATAGTTCCCGTGGGATAGATTTGTTCTTGTCTTTTTATTTTTGTTGTTGAGAAAGGGATTGACATACTATACCACACTAACCATTAAGATCTACCTAGGGATGAACTCAAATGAAGCGAGAGTGAATCCCTACTATTCAATATAAATGAACGCAATCAAGCTAGAAAATGTAACTTTTGAAATTATAAAACTATATAAATACCATAAAATTTAAATATATACACTTACTAATTCAAGATTAGATAGTAAAATGTTTCGGCAAGCCAAATCTCTATGTAAAAATCTACTTTTCTCCAAATAAGCCATTCCTGCTGCAACTTGTCCTGACCATTTTGATATGAAATTCAATGACACTTTGCCATCTTGCGCTCTTATGTAATCTAATAATGCACCCATTGGGGCCAATTCACACACCATCATGAGTGGGTGAAACACTACACCATGTAACTTGATTAAATTAGGATGTTTTAAACTGTGCATTGCCTCAACTTCTCTTCTGAAATCATCATATATGCCTGGCTGTGAAAATGCATCAGCTTTTAATACTTTTACGGCTACTGGCACCATTTGATTTGTCTGATCTGGCATTCTCCATTCTCCACGTCTTACAACTCCAAATGATCCATTACCCAATTCATTATGCAATCTGTAACATATTAAAATAATTAAGATAATCTACATGTATATTGTACTGAAAATGACAAAATATAAAATGATTTGTATATTGTTTATATTTCAAGCATAAAATTAACATTAGATAGTATGTAATACTCTTAGCCAATAACATAACATGATACTTACACAATATCTTTTTCCAATATGATACAAGTAGTACGACTTTCAGTTTGTGATTGTGGCCTTATTGCTAATTCAGTCTTCTCACGGGCATTAGAACTTGAAGAGCCAAATAATTTATTCCAAAATTTTCGATTCCACAGTTGTAATTTCTTTTTTCGGACAGCATCAAGTAGCCTGCGAACACCAGGCTTGCTGATACCAATCCTTTCAAGGTCCTCTGCATGTACATAGTCAAAATGTGCTAATCTTGTTATCTAAAAGATATGTACAAAAATATAAGTTTAGTTAGAATGATGCAGAACAAAAAGAAAAACTTTTTAGTTTTAAGTTACCTGTAATTGATCCCGAATTGGTATATAGAATTGTTCGAGCTGCACATTTTGCAAAATTTCGCAAAGCCAGTCTGTATTAGGATCCATCGTGTTTGAAATGCGCACTGGCTAGCTTTGCAATTTATCTATTAGAAATCTTCTCAGAAGTAACATTTCTAGCAGGAAGTAGAAATTACTATATACGAGTATGTGAGATTCGTAATCCGACTATTGCAACCATTAAAAATGGTTTTGCATCTTTATAACTAAAGCGTATAGGTAAACTGGAAGCTTTTTATTAAAACACGTTATATTTTTATAAGTTCACTTGATTCACAAAAAAACAAACAACATAAAAACCAAACACAATCCAAGAAAGCTACAAAGCGATCTCGGAACTACAAATTACAATCTGCAATGGAAAGAGACAATAAATCTTTCATTCATCAATCAATCATTCGATTGTGAAGTCTTTTACTAATGTTACCAGAAAAAATAAATGTAAATGTTGCATACGATGAAGTATTAACTATAAAATATAAATTATCCAGGAGAGGAGAGTTGCATTTGCTCTGTTTGATAAATTTTTACTAATTATAAGTATATAGTTTAATTGTGTAATATCTCTATAACATTAAATATATCAGCTTCACCATCATTCCACACGCAACGCACACACAATTCTCTACATAACATTACGTAATAATTATTAGTTAATAGTTATCATTAATCATTTACACTGTGAATATTTGTGTACTTTATGTGGAATATGTATTCTCTTCTTTACAAATAAAATTCTCTTTACTTTTTTATCTAATAGCATGGAATGAAATCCTTATCCTCCTCGGATATAAATAAAATACTGTTGTAGTAATTTGACGTTACTGTATAAATATGTCAAAGTAGTTGAGTTTTATTTATAAAATATTCATATTTCATAGCGAATCGTCAAATATAATCGTTTTATTACTTACTATAAACTATTATACGTGATAATGAATAATTTTTCTATAGATAGTATAACTGAAGCAAAAATAGTTGATTTTGGTTGTATTCCTATTGATTCTTCATCTGAAAGAATTATATCAATTCAAAATTTAACTGATGTGCGTATTAATTACCGTATAAATAGCTAAAACATTATGAATATTTTACAAAAAATCGTAATTTTTGTAATAGTTGATGGTTGAGTTGAATCTTTAAGTGTAACTTTAATATTAACACTTCCAGGGAGTACTTACATACCGTATATCGTTGTTGTATGTTTTGAACAGCATAGACCAAGTTTTTAAGGTTTCGGTTACTTCTACACCTGTAAAAGCACTAGATTGGGCTGAAGTGAAAATAGTGTTCAAACCGAAAATTAACGGCCAATCTTATACAGATTATTATATTGTAGATGATACTGCAGGCAATACTTACAGGCTGACTTTAAAAGGAAATTGTTTTGGTAAATGCATATGTAAAATAGTTTACATTTAATAATGTCCGAAACTATAAAAAATAATACAAATAATACGATTTACTGTTTTAAAATATACATGTATGTACATTTGTAACTTCTTTTTTGTCGCTTTTATAGTTTTGCTGTATCGTTATATATTAATATTTTAAATAAGTATATTAATCAGGCATAATATGATTCTTATTAGGTCCTAAGATATCAATTAATAAGAAACATCTTACATTTAGAATCGTGAAAAATGTTGATGAACAAAGAAAGGAAATAATAAATATTATTAATAAATCTTCTATAGACGCCACTTACCAATGGTTGTTGCCAGTCGGTGGACAAGGATTTTTTCAAGTACGACCAAAGACTTTCAAGAGCTCTAAAATCTTTCTTACATTATTAGACTTACTTATATTCTTAGCAGGGATAGCCCAGATATAATGTGCTCGCTTGAAAAACAAATGAAGCGGGTTCAAAACCCAGGTCTGGCAACTCTGATATGTGCGAATCATAATCAACATGATTACTACCTACATTGAAGAAAAATATCGTTAGGAACCTGAATGAATCTAGATAGATCTGAATCTGATCCTAGATAAAAAAAATCGCTCGGGTGTGTGTGTGCTTGTGTGAACAAGTCAGAGAATTTTCAGAATTTAATCAGTGGTTTCTTAGATTACCTACTTACAAACTTAGAAAATTACAAAGTTTATCTCTTTAGAATAATATTAGGTATAGATAGTTTATCTCATAGTTTCTATTTTATATACTATCTATCGTTTTACGTCTATTTTTTAGATTTCCACGGGTAATTGTGGTGTGATTAGAGCATTTGAAAATATTGCTACAACTGTTATTTTCACTGCTACTGCATTGGGAGTGTACACTTCCGAATTAGTTTGCTTGGTGTTAAACCAGGTAAAAAGTTTTAAATACATTTTTTTCGTAATAATTCATCTTTATTCTTTGTGAACATTTAATGAATCAATTCTAAATATTTTAAATTTCCTTACCTATTATTACTATTAATATATATATAAAATTTATGTCTCAGTAAACAATAATTAATGGCAGGAACCGCTATATCTTAGCGTTTTGGCGTCAGTCGTACTCCCCGGAACTCCTCTTTATAACTTACAAAATCATGTTTTTCAAAAATATTGGAAACGTAAGAGTCGGTCAGCCCATTTAATGGAGAACAGCTTAAACCGATTAAGTTATATACACTCAGCATCAGTTTTTGAAAGATATTTAGATTTTGGTACTGGCAGCGTTGTGGACAATACAATGAACATATCGCAAACTTTGTGTGTAACGAACCATGAATCGCATGAGGGCTGCATTTCATGGATTCCAGGTTAGTCCAAAATTTTCACGAAACGTTTGCTACTATTGGAATACCTAAAAAAAAATAGGATGTAGGAGTTTTTAGGAAAATTTTAAATTAGGTAAATGTAGAGGAAATAATATCTTAGTTTAGTCCATTATAACGATAATATCAGTAGAGAAATCGATTTTATGAATTTAATATTTCTTCAAAAGGGGAATAAGCTTCCCCTGGGGGGAACGGGAAGGGTAACCCCTTTCCCGTTAAAATCCCGAGGCAGTTACGAAATAATTGCGTTCGTTTGATCCCTTGCTGTATTGTTATTACTGAAACTTTAATGATGCAATTAATACGTAGGATATTTAAGAATTTATTAAATCGTACACTTTAGGAACACGATTATTTATAGTTTCCTCGATCGCAATAAAATTCAAAATGATCTCTAAAAAATAAAATAAACCCTTAGTGCGGCGTAAATAATTCAAGGAAGTTCATCAGGTTTTTAATAGTAACAAAACTATACGTTTCCTACAACGTATACACTTTACATTTTCAAAATGTATATTTGTTTCAATAATACGAAGGAAATACCTAAATTCGCACGCGTTCCGTCCATCCTAGCCCCCCCCCCCCTTCCTCCCTCTACCCGCTGTCGTCCTACTAAAAAAAGCTCGGTGCCCTCTTAAAATACCTCAAAAATGATCACTGTAAATTAATTTCATAATAATTAATTGTTTATTTTGTTTCGTTTTTGGTTCTGTCTAGATTCCGACAATGTATTTGTGATAGATCCGATCTCCTGTGATATTCCGCCTAATGAGTCCAGAATGTTCACTATTAGATTCAGGTAAAAAATAATGTATTATAGTATGCATTTTATTGTATTACTGTTGTATATTTAGTTTAGGGATTACGAAAATTGAGCGCTCTTTTCCACGAATTAAAATCATTTGTTATAAAAATACCTTTGAACATATAGTAGTCCCCAAATGATGATACCTAGTTACAGTGCCGGATTTAAGCTTAGCACCGCCCCTGGGCTTAGTAAAAAAAAATATGGGTAAAGTTTCGATAAAGTTTAATTATTTTAATTATATATTTTTTTAAATATGCAAAAAAATAATTTATGTGATATCAATTTTCCGAAAAATGTACCTACCAGTTAATCCTTTTTTATTTTTCATTTTTTTCTTGGAAAATAAAAAAAGCATTTTTGATAACGCGAAGAAACATTTTTTCCCGCCCCCCGAATTTTATATAAAATTTGCCGTCCTGGGCGATAGCCCCGAGTGCCCCTAGTATAAATCCAGCGCTGCGAAGTTAAAGTTACGCAAATTTGATTTTCACGGAAGAACAAAAAACGTTACGTTCAAAAAAGTCGCGTTAAAAAAATGTTTCTTCGCGTTATCCTTCCTCTACCTACTCTACCTTCGCTATTCGTTTTCATACATTATTTAAAAACAAGTGAAACTTCACTCATAATCTAAAATATCCTATAATGAATATGAGTATTACTGTGAAGATGTAAGATTATTTATTATTTAATTAAAATTTTATGCTTCTCTGTTTTAAATATAGACCTAAAGTAGACAATGAGGTGTTTGGTTATTTGTTGTGCGGAGATTATCAATTCAAAACTTATGATGATAAAACCGAACAAGTAAAGATGAAGCATACTTGGTACAGAATCCCATGTATCGGTAATACTTGGTTACCTTGCACTGAATGGACTACGGAGTGGGATTGTCCAAATGAGGTATTCCTTTTGTCCTTCCCTGATCTTAATATCCTTTATTCCCTAATCTTAATATAATATAACTAGCGACTCACCCCCGCTTCGCTCGGGTTCGTCGGCGTCGGTAGCTTGATTCCCCATACAAACTTCCATCCCCGTTTTCACCCCCTTAAGGAATGATTTTCGGGATAAAAAGTATCCAATGTCCTTCCCAGGGTCTCAAACTATCTTCTTACCAAATTTATAAGTATTCTTAAATTTTATAATTTTCCGCGCAATTTTTTAATTTTTTTCTTTCATAAGAACCTTCTCCTGACAATATCAAACACAACAAAAAAAATATAGTTAAATCGGTCCAGCCGTTCACGCGTGATGGCGTGACCAAGGGAAATAGGGATTCGTTTTTATATATATTTATTAATATATATATAATATATATATATATTAATATATAATATATATATATATATATATATATATATTAGATTGCTTGCGTAGGAAAAAATTACCAATATGTAGACCTAATTATGTAGGTCGTCGTAAACCTAAAAGAACCCTGAACAAATAACAAGAAATTAGCTTTTTACACACACAAATTGACTGGACGCAAGGTCTGTCTCGCATGAATCGCGAGTTTCTGTGTTGCATATTTTGAAACTGATATTTCTCTACAGGTACTTTCTACTTGGCTTTTCTTGATCACATTGGATGACAGATCTAACATTTTATCTATCTGCCATATTGTCTATAAACTAAACCTATCGTAAAATAAGTTTTTCTCTCAATTATATTATGTTAATTTTAGTTGTTTTCTCAATTTTCTTAGGTGGTTCTACCTCCTACAGTTCCAACTAGGACAACTTTTACAAATTTTTTGCTGTCCAATAAATTGGATATACCAATGCATTTTAAGCTTGAAGCGCCGTATCAAACGTAACGTATTAGAATTTATTAATGATATTAATATGTACTAAGTTCATTACCATCAAGCGACAAAAAATATGTTACGTAATAATTTTTGATTTTATGTACGAGTACATACAAATTATATATTGTGTACTTTTATATCTTTTAGAATAATGATATTAATTATTTACCGTCCCACTTGTAGTTGTACCCAAGAAAAAGGTAGAAAATCATTTTAATCCCTCCACGACCGCGGACACGCCGGCGTGTCAGTTAACAATAGATTTCTTAGAAATTTAATTAATTTCTTAGAAATTTACCTGGAGGTGATAAAGAATGAATTACGTGTTGTTTATTTAACTTAAACCATAGATATTTCTCGTATATGTACAAATACAATACTCAGGTGTGGTAAAATTTGTAATAAATGAATCAATATCTTTATCTAGGAATTTTGTTGTGATGCCTATGTGTGGTATCGTGCAAGGGCGTGGATGGCAAATAGTAACTGTTGCGTTGGAACCAAAATCTTATGGAGAATATTGCGAAAATTGGGACCTAATAATTAATAAAACTCAAAAGGTAAGACAATATCATCACTGAATGCATTAGCATTGTGTTTGCAGCGAGTTTTTGTTACTTTACACGCTCGTCGAATGCGCGTTAAAAACCTTTTATGTATAGGCCTTAAGATTGATTCATATTTTTCATAGATCCACTGGATCTACGAGTATATAAAAGTTATAAAGCATCTTTTACGACTAAGGTTAAGTAATAAATAATCATTCATATTAGTTGTTTTTCTTATTGTAAGAATACAGCAAAATAACGACTTTCAAGTAGGTATTTATTAATTTATGCGCTTAAATACGTCTTTCTTATGATGGACTCTTCTATGTATTACTAGGTAAGTTACCACCACGGCAACAACAAAATACTACCGATTATGTATTCAGCCCCCTGCTAGGCACGGGCCTCCCTTCAATACGAGGGGGATCAGGCCATAGTCCACCACACTGGCCAAGTGCGGGTTGGCGGACTTCACATGTCTTTTGAAAACTGACTAGGTTCAATCAGACATGCAGGTTTCCTCACGATATTTTCCTTCACCGTAAGACAAGTGGTAATAATGTTGGAAATGATTTACTTATGTAATATATTATGAAGATATCAGAGGTGTGAGACTCGGGATTTGAACCCGCTTCACTTTATTTCTCAAGCGAGCGTGTTACCATTCAGCTACCACTGCCTCACAGTGATGCTATAATAGATATTTAAAATAATTAAATGATTATTAAATAGATATTTCAAATAATGAAATAACAAACAGGCCCGTATATGCCTAACCGGCAGTGCAGAGGTCAGTCAGGTAGAGATGATGTCACACGGATACAACCCGGACACGCACGCTATGTACGAGTTCCCACCAACTATCACAGGATGCACTAATTACTGCACCGCGTACCTACATAACTTGACTAGGATGGAGATACAGTTCGTATTTATATGTCCATTTTGTTAGTTTAATTGAAGAGTTTAAAAATTACACATAAAAAAAATGTACGATTATAGCGACAATACCTGTAATATTCGTGCCTTTTTTACATTTTTTTTAACAGTGGGAAATGTATTTGCCGATACCGCTTGCATATAAACAAGTGATTTTGTAGGACTTACCAGCTAGAAAATACTGTACTACCCACTAAAACCCAACGGAACCTATCCCGCCTTAATGAGAAGCCGCCGGATCGCTTATATACCATTTCATCGAAATCTATCCTACCATTACAGCCTTGATAATATAATTAAGTAGATGTTACATTATTTAGTAAGGTTTAAAAGGCATCATCGTTAATCTATTGGCATAAATCTTGGGTTTCATAAAAGTACTCGTAAAAGGAAAGTTTAATAATAACTTAAATTTTATGATCTGGACGCCCTCAAGGATGAAATTAAACGTTATATCCCTATGCATAAATTCTATACTCGATGAATCAAAGAATAATTAAAGTTTTTTTATTAAAAATCTTCTATTACTCCTTGCGTTACATTTGGGACGTTCCATTCAAACATTTGACGACACGTTTGGCTCAGTTTGTATTGGCCCTGCTTGCTGTGCCAGCGGTCGCGGGTTCGAGTCCCCCTGGGAACATTCATTTGCGTGATGAGCACGAATGTTTGTACTCCAGTTGTGGGTGTTTATATTTATAATATGTATGTAATTAAATGATACTTAGATTTACGCGAATATTTGACATTTTAAATAAAACTATCTTTTCGGATTTAAAATAATAAATAATAAATAAATCCGCGACAAAATACGAAAAGATAGTTTGATTTAATATGTAATTAAAGTTATATATGTGTAGTGTATCAACTATCTCATATCCATAACACAAGCCTCGTATAGCTTACCATGGAACTAGATGGTGCTGTATGTTAATATCCCAACATATTTATTATTATTATTTGCGTTAATCTAACACGATCCATGATCTTTGTATTTGTAGTGTGTAGTTATATGTTAAGTGGCAACATATATTGGTCTTAATAATTATTATACAATTTACTTAGTATTAGGGTGTTAAGCAACGTGTCTTGGTTGGGCGCCGATAGCTCTGGGTCTATAGTATTGCCCCCAAAGGAAATAGTCAAATATCACTGGTGGTTCTTCCCCAAACAACACAACAAAGTGTACGAAACTACAGTCGTTTGTTCCTGCATTTGTTTAATCAATGGAAAGTAAGTATTCATATTATTCTACATTGTTTTTTTCGTTTAGCTATATATATATATATATATATATATATATATATATATATATATATATATATTTAATCTTTGCTTTTATGTACAAATAGAAAATATTAAAATGTAATCTATATAAGTTTTGTTAAAAATATATGGTTAGGTATAAGTTATACCTAGTTAATTTAAAATAAAAATATGTACATATTTTTTCAAGACCAGTTGGACAGCCTACAGAATTATTCATTCAAATTACCGGATTTTCGGAATTACCCAACCTAAGAGTAAGTTTCTTTTATAATTTTAATCAATAACTGTCACATTGTGATTCATGTGACATTAAACATCGCAAGCAATATCTAAGTCTAAACCTAGTTATTGGATAATTTTATACTTATGTTAGTTTACTATTATAGACGTTTTGGTTATCAAAGAATAATTTCGCTATTGTTATACTAAAAATAATATAAATTATTAATTGTATAAAGTAGGACTTACATGTATTATTGTAGATTCATTATTTGAAGTTATGAAAAAAAATACAACCCTGCTCCCGCCCTTTTTCCACTCAAGTCTGACAACGTCAGAAAACTTAAAGAATCAGAATGACAAAATAAAGAATAAAATAATGAATGTACAATAATACATATAAGTCCCATTTTATATAATTAATAATTTATATTATTTTTAGTATAACACTATATATCAGAATTTTAAGGATGTAGGTATAAATTAAATAATCAAATTTTTAGGTTTTACCAAAAACATTGAATATACACGACACAGTAGTAGGAGAGAACGCTACATTCACAGTTACTCTCTATAACTACGGCTCATGCTATTTTACTTCTAAATTATATCACGTAACTAACGGCATGGGAGACGATTTTAGCGGCGATAAACTTGAAATTGAGTCTACAGTTGTGAGTAATATACCTACTACCTACATATTTACAAAAATTGCTATATTTAGTGCATTTTTGTATACAGTAGGTATAATCTATACATATAATAAAATTGTAACTAAGTCGAATCTGTACATTAAATATTTTTTGGAAAATCTTATTGAAATAGACATTATTATCGATACAGAGTTCGAATGTACAGTTTTTAGAATTTTTGTCTGTCTCTCTGTCTGTCTGTTACCGCATCACAGAAAAACCACTGGAAAGATTTTGATGAAATTTGGTATGGTGATAGCTGGTTGTCCGGGTTAACATATAGGATACTTTTTACCGCGGGAAAATATCTTATTTCTGAGAAAAAATACAAAAACTGCAATGAAGAGTATACTAATATGTAAAACCTAAGAATTTGGTTTTTGGTCATCTGAACGCGGGCGGAGCCGCGGGAAATGCTCCTATATAATCCTATATATGTATACTTCTAGATAGAGAGATATATTAGATATTTAAAAGAGGTAGGAAAGTATCTTAAATACTTACTAAAAAAAATTAACTGATAAGTAAAATTGTACCTAATAGCTTTATTTGTGAGAGGTTATGAATTATTTCAAGTAAATCTAAATAACATGGATTGATCTTTAAATTTTTTTCATATTATTTAGAATAGTCTAAAGCCCTCTCAACATTGTGAAGTTAAAATGACGGTCACTGCAAACGGAGCCGGTTCACGGCAAGTAGATATCAAATATACGGTATTATTTCGTACTGAATATGATGAAATAGAAGAAATACAGCCGATTAATAAAACTATTTTCATCGTCTGGTATGATGGGATTTACCCTACAATTAAGGTCAGTTCCATGTACATATGTATATGGTATAATTATAAAAAAGTATAGAATGGCTTATAAAGATAAATAGATTTTTTGAATCAGTTCAAAGTATTGAGTCTTAATTATGATTTCTAATATATGTAAATAATTAGCTCGAAAAGGAGCCTACCTTTTCAGACTACCAGTAAAAAATCTACCAAATATTAATAGAAATAACGTTTCTTGTACATGCTTTTATTTTGATATATTTTCATTTTTTGTTGTCATAGCGACAATAGAAATACATATTCTGTGAAAATTTTGACTCTATTACGGTTCATGAGATACACCCCTCTGACAGACGGGGGGACGGACGGACAGCGGAGGCTTAGTAATAGAGATCCGTTGGTACCCTTCGGGTATGGAACCCTGAAAAGGCACGGATAAAACGTCCATGGTGTTTAGACTACGTAAGAGAAAAAAACAACTTAGCTTCAACTAAAGTTTGTTAATTTCAGATTAAACGAACAATATCTGTTCAATGCCCAATCATTTTGAGCAATCATTGCGTCTGGAACATGGTTAATGTGAACGAGTTAGTGATTTATTTTAAACTACTTTTAAGACATTAATATATTATATATATATATATATATATAAAATAATAGAATAATTTAAGAAATCTTTTTTACTTTTAGTTTTTCATGTTGTTATTTATAATTTTATCTTAAATCAATTGCACTCTTTTAGTCCCGTCATATAACACTATTTCTCACTACCATAGGTTGGCTGGAAGAGATCTCTCCTAGAGATAAGTCCACCTTTGCCCACATTGGTCTCTGTATTATCTGTGTTACTCTGTTAATATGCAATAAAGAATATATATATATAAATATTTAGAGTTTCACAAACCATACGTTTATATTTGTTTTCAGATTCAATAAGAATTTACAGGACTGTCGTCCCAATTCCCCTATGAACGTTAATTTATACGCCCCAGATCTCTGTGTTCGGCCGAAGGAAGTAGAATTTATTTTTGTACTCGGCTGCGTTTATTCAGTGCCTGTCCCGTTTAGTTTTCGTAGAGAAAAGATATGTGAATGCGAAATGGTTGAGGTCCAAGTCGGTATATCTACATATGAAATGAGACACACTTGCGTTCACAGATATTTGATTGATTTGTACCCCATGAATGGTATCGTTGCTGTACGTATCTGATTTAATAGATTTACCTACCAATACAAATTTTTTTTAACACTTACTCCTCCACCTCAAGGTCTGTTGTGCATCTTTTCTCTGTGTTTTTTTTTTGTTTTCGTATTTCTTTTTTGGTATGCTATAAATTATATTACAATTATTTTGAGTTATTACTTATTTAGAAAAAATGCTTAAAAGTTCTGATAAAATATTTTATATTTCTATTTTTGTATTATATAGGCCCATAGGCCTTATATTAAAGAAGACTTGTTTTAATCGGAACATTTGTACCTATATAAATAACAGCGGGTGAAGCCGTGGGCAAACACTAGGTTATTAATATTTGGGAAAAATTTTGTTTTAAATAAGTAAATCTTTCCCGAGTATGAGTATAAAATAAATACTTTTTTACATTTACGCGAATATTTGACATTTTAAATAAAACTATCTTTTCCGATTTTTTTCGCGGTTTTTTCCGGAAAGATACTTTTATTTAAAATATCACATAAATACATGAAAGGAAAGAAAAGAAAAAAAATTACATTTCAGCCAGATAATCCGGTTTTGTTACACATAAAATTCAAATATTATTTAGAAGGACATAACGCTCTTTGCTTTGTCATGACGATGCCTAATCAAAGGACATTGAAGATATTCTTTAATATTCATGCATGTATAAATTCTAAAGGCATTTTGACTCCTTTAAGAAGAAACGTAGGGGTGGATGATTATTTAACAGTATTGGACTGTGGCAGAGTGCCGATTAATAATTTGGATCCAGTAATACGGGTTAGATAGTAATCATAAATAACTTAAAATATTAAACTAATTCGAGCTATTGATTCGGGCGATTTGATCTTAACGGTAAAGTTAAAAAATAAAATAAGAGATAAATAGCATTTGTTATCTTTAAGTATTTTGAAATAAGTAGAGTTATAACAAAATAGATTACTATATTTCGTAAGATTTCTAGATTTAGATTCTTTCTAGCTTTCTAAATAAAAATACAAAAACTGCAATGTAAGAGTATACTAATATGTAAAACCTAAGAATTTGGTTTTTGGTCATCTGAACGCGGGCGGAGCCGCGGGCAATGCTAGTATATTTATATCTTGCACAAATGATCCAGATTGTATGGCTCTACAATCCCACTGAGGTGTTTACAACATGGCGTCTTCTGCGCGGACACACAGTCGCCTCTGAAACGGTGATACGATGCTTGCAATACTTTGCTGAAGTCGCGCCTATGGATAAATTAGCAATACCATTTGCTTTTATGCCGACGGAGATGATTAATTATGAGGTTATTTTTGTAACTCAAATAAATCGTATGCTGTGGTTAGATATTATTTAATTGGACCCAGTTATGCAAAAAACTGCCATGTGCGTAAAAGTAGTTATAAGCATTTTTCTGTCGATAGTTGCACTTGGGTTATGTTTTGTTTTTCTGGTTATTTTAAAATTGAACAATATATAAGTATTGTTTATCTTTTATAATTATTTTATTTATTATAATAAAATGCTGAAAAAGGTTATTCATCTACCTACTTGAGTTTCTTTCTAATTTTGTGATTTCGAATATTATATTTTTTATTTAAAAACTATTATTAGTTAATTTAATTAAAAAATCTCAAATTTATAAGGGTGGTATGTGACCCTTATTTTGAGATTTAAAAATATTTGCGCCTCGACTGAGACGTACGAAAAGCTTTATTGTTAAATTTAATAGTATAAAGAATCCGCATTCGGATAAAGAGTATATATAATTAAAAATACTTTAATTTTTATTTTTAATTCAATTAATTAATTTTTATTTTTAAAACACGCGATGTCTCGATACCTTTTTTGTTTGACATAATAGCGAATTTACGGGAGGAATAAAATGATTATTTTTGTATGAAATTATAAAAGTTACATAACATAACTACCTTATAAAATTTTCGTATCAAATTATACGATGTGACAGCCCCGCGCGGTTGTCTACCGAGTGTATACCGAACGCGACGCGCGTATGTATAACTCGATTTCCGACCGTTTGTAGGAAGATGGAATACTGTATGTAATATTACCGTGCTTTTAGCAATTACTCATAATACTATACCTACTAATGTTGTAACGAGTTAACTTGATCACTTAAAGTCGGTGTTCTATGATAAGTTCATTTATATATTTTGAAAATTCATTTATTCTTGATCTAGATGACATTTTATTGTTCGTTCGGATATGATATAGTCAAGATCCTCGTCAAAGGGCAAGGAGGTTTACCCAACTGTATCGAAACTCGACTTGATATGCCTCCATACATTGAAAAGATAATCCGATCCGCATATAAAAATAATATTGTTAGTACAAATTATATTTGAATATTTATCTATATATAAGTACACTACTATTAAAAGGGGAAAGATTTGTTTTTTTGTATGTTTGTAACGAATAAACTCAAAAACTACTCGACCGATTTAGATAAAATTTGGTAGGAAGATAGTTTGAGACCCGATGGGAAGGACATAGGATACTTTTTATTCTGGAAATCATTCATCTCATCGTGAAAATGGGGATAAACCTTTATATGGGAAATAAAGGGACCTAGGGATCTAGATCCCGAGCAGAGCGAGAGTGAGTCAATAGTTATTTATATCTTTATTAGTAAATAAATTAAAAAGTATAGGTTATTACCAATTCATCATTTGACAAGAAAAATGTATTCGCAGTAAGTTATAGCGTCGTTCTCTACATTTTAGATATTTTGATTGGTTAATTTAGCTTCGACCTATTTTTTTAACGACGCACCGGTAAGATATAACTTTGGTATCAGTAGTTACGGCAAGAATTTGCTCATTTTTGATACGTATAGTAATAGAACTCCCGAGTAAATTCTTAGTAAATTATACATAACAAATATGGACTTTGAAATAAACTAAATATAGTTTAGTGTATAACGTATATAATACAAACTCATACCTTATTTTCATTATCCAGGTACATCTATCAAAGGAACATTTGACTCTACCAATTATGCCAACACATTCGCTTTCAAGAGAAATAATAGCCATAAACAATGATACGGATCATGTCTTAAGATTTATTTGGCTCCCGTAAGTGTGTATACTTACATTGATAATGTAAAGGCAAAATGCAAAAACGGAACCTCCACCCCTCTATCAGTACCTAATTATAGTCATTAAATGGAAGACTAAGTATGTACATAAGGTGCCTTAGGATAGATTTTTAAATGAGATACACTCTTTCATTACCTAAACAGTTTTTTTTATTACAATTTTTATTAAAAAGACATTCTCGATAATGAGTAGGGGTTTTAGGTAACAATCTATCATTCGGCATTAATTGTAACCTAACGCAATATGTATTTTAAAAAACTAGTTAAGATATCTATTACTCAGATTTCCTTACAATCTATATGGTATGGTATGGTATGTTCGGGCTGGTTTCCGCAACTCGACGACTATGCGCCTATTTTGCGTGTTACAATCTATATATATATATATATATATAAATGAATCACCATTATCCTTGGTCACGCCATCACGCGTGAACGGCTGGACCGATTTTACAATTTTTTTTGTTGTGCTTGTTATGGTCAGGAGAAGGTTTTTATGAAAGAAAAAAAAAGAAAAAATTGCGCGGAAAATTATAAAATTTAAGAATACTTATAAATTTGGTAAGAAGATAGTTTGAGACCCTGGGAAGGACATTGGATACTTTTTATCCCGGAAATCATCCCTTAAGGGGGTGAAAACGGGGATGAAAGTTTGTATGGGGAATCAAGCTACCGACGCCGACGAACCCGAGCGAAGCGAGGGTGAGTCGCTAGTATAACAATAACATTTATTACTAGTATCGCTAGTATAACAATAACAATTATTACTAAGTATTAAGTAATTTACGATAATGATGATATTCACAATATCAAATTTTAGGTAGGTGCTCTACACTGGATAATTTTCTAATAGGATATTTGAGCGTGAATGAAAACTAAATTAAAAAGTTCAATTCCACCATAAACTAACTATGTACATGTAGGTCGAAGTTATAAAAACCCATGTTAAAAATTTTTTTTCAGCGAGAGAATAGCTAACATATTGAATATAGTGATGACGCCGTGGTGGGGAGTCATTCAACCCAAATGTACAGAATGGATCACTATTACCGTCTATACATTGCAAGAACCTGCCATTTTAACGTAAACAAAGAAAATAATTGTATTTTTTCCTTTATTAGATATTTTAATGGCCTGTTACATAAAGTTATATCTGTAATATATGACTTAATTAATATATTTTTTAAATATTCATATAGATTGTAGATACTACATATATATATTGAATAGGTTTATATAATATAGGTTTTATTAATATAATTAGGTCGATTGAGTAGATGAAGAATATCCCACCTAAAGATATAGGAAATAGATTTTTTTTTACCATATTTATTATTTTTATTCAAAACTCTTAAAGGCAACTAAATATAATGTATTTTGTTTATATGCATCAAATATTTGTATAAATACACATCTTCTATGTAAGTACGCGTTTCTAATAATTTATCTAAATGTATTTTTTTACATTTAAGTATTTATATTTTACAGAACAACGATAGCTTGTGAAATATTAGATCTGACCGAACGCAAGAGATATCAAAAGAACGAACTGCTGCGAAGGAGGAAGACTGAGAAATGTAACCAAGAATTCATTATTACTGAGGAAGGACTGTCTCACCCAGTGAGTCACTTTTTGTGAATTATAAAGGAAATATATCTATATATACATATAATAAAATTCTAACTGAGTCGAATCTGTACATTAAATATTTTTTGGAAAATATAGTTTTTAGAATTTTTGTCTGTCTGTCTGTTACCGCATCACAGAAAAACTATGGAGGGATTCTGATGAAATTTGGTATAGTCATCGCTGGTTATCCAGGTCAACATATAGGATACTTTTTACCGCGGGAAAATGTCTCATTTCTGAGAAAAAATACAAAAACTGCAATGTATGAGTATACTAATATGTAAAACCTAAGAATTTGGTTTTTGGTCATCTGAACGCGGGCGGAGCCGCGGTAAATACTAGTAGAAAATAAATACATATTTAATACTCGTATAAAATTTTATTTACTGTTCTTGTATCTTAAAAAAATCTAGGGATAATATCGATATTGATGACTAAAATGTCCAAATAATATGTTAATACTTAATTGCTTTTATTAAATATTATACTTATATTATATCGTTATTTATCTTTTATTACTGTAGGTAAATTCAAAATAACTTTCTCTTATTGACCTCATATTTTTAAGACGTTAAAACTTAAAGAACCATTAAAGACAAAAAATCATCATCCTATTTCTTTCTATCCACTAATCTTAGAAATAAATAAATTCGGTTGACTGATGTACACTGATCTTATACTAAGTACACGTGAACAGAGCGGCGGGCAAAAGTTAGCATAAAGTAATTCATAATTTATTTTATACCTATTGACATTTTAATTATATATTTCTAAAAGAGATAGTATATCTCCCGTGCCTCGGAGAGCACGTAAAGCCGTCGCTCCTGCGCCTTAACTCTCACCGGTCGTGTCGAGTGGTCGTCCCACCGGAGTATGAGAGTGATAGGAATAGAGAGTGCACGTTGTGTCTGCGCTCTCCCTCACACGCGCTGCACTATAATATCTCCTGCAGTTGGCTAGTCTCAATGAGATTGGCCGCCGTGGCCGGAATCGGTCAGGAGAACATCATCATCAGTATATATAATGGCTTATTCCAGAATATAAACGATTGCCCGCCATTTGTTTTGGATTTGAAGAAGCCACAGCCGTCATACATCGCTATGTCAGTATCAGTATCGTCCAAGGGTCAAAGAGACGGATATCCTAGAATGTTATTAAAGCAAATGTGGGAACAGGTGGTTTTTTTACTAATTTTATACCATTTATTTCAATAATTTGTTAATTTTTGTCGCGAAGACTATTTATCCAAATTTCGTTCCAAATGTCGTGATTTAAATGAAAGCGGTATGAAAATTAACATTATTTAGAGGCATAGAACTGATAAGAAAAAAAAAGCTTTTGTTTTAAGTGATTCTAATGTGACATATTTAGGGTTCCAGCGGGAATATCGAAACCCCTTAAAATTATGCAAAATTCAAATTCACATTTCTAAACTGCTAGTTACACACCTAGGTATGTATACCTATATATTTATTAGCACCATTACAATAAAACTCTTCGGATTTATGTTATATATTATTTATATAATATTGTTCATACAAAAATATTAAAATCACGATAAAAATGTGGGGTTGGGGGTTGAAGGTTAAAAAATACTTTACGACCTATTCTCATACCTACCAAATATACAAAAAAATTAATAAAATCTATCGAGCCGTTTCGGAGAGGGGCGACCATAAATACCGTGACGAGATTTTTATATATTAAATTAAAATTACTCTATCGCATTTCACAGCCTCCGCAGTATGACTTGTTGTCATCAGAAGGCGGTAACCACCACTCAACTCGCCCACAAGGTTCCACTGGAAATAGCATGACAATGCAGGAAGTCGTTAAAATTATCGATGGAATATTATGGTACTTGTACTATTCTTCTATATTTTCTTACATTGTGATATAAAATACCGTATGTATACATAAATAAAAATTCCGGCTAATCCTATAATATATAAGTAACCTCCTTCTTTTGGGAAATCGGTAAAAATAGGTAAATAACTGACAAATAAGTTTTTATATAACTAATACACTAATAAGTATTTATAAATTTATTTTTAGTGTTAAGTTAAAAAGATCTACTATAATAAAGAGGTAATTTTTTTTTGTATAATCTCTGGAACTACTGAAACGATTGTAAAAATTCTTTCACTAATAGAAAGCTACACTACATTATCCCTGACGGATATAGGCTGAATTTTATTTTGATTTATATATAGATTTCTCTTTTAAATCGTAATATTTACAAATCAAGTCGGTAAGTAAAATGCGCTAAATATCCGCTTTGCCGACCTGCTTCGGCCAAATCGTTGCCTTCATATGAAAATAATGTTTATAATCAGTTCGAACACGAACTAAGTTAGTTGCTAGTCTTAATATTTCTTCCATAGCTATCTTAATAATTGGATATATTTCTCAGGGATGCTTTACATAGCAAGATGTTTAAAACACACATTCAGTTTTATGCGAAAGAAGATATACCCACATACGATCATTTGGTCAAAGTAATTGAAAGTGATTCACGGCCTAAATTAAGCAAGCGGTAAGATATGTATATTATATTAATAATAATAGTTAGTGTGGTGTGTAGAATTCTGGTGTAGTTGATATATTTCTTTTAAAATTCAATTGGCTGTACGATTATTGTTTGCGGGAGGTCATATTTACTTTGCAACATTTTTGCTGAGTGGCTACGGCATATAGAATATAGCCACCCCATATCTTCCCGTGGGTGTCGTAAAAGGCGACTAAGGGACAAACTACCGAACACCATGGTAGTCGCGGTGGTAGGCCTCAACATCGGCTGACGGCACGGTTACCACCCATCAGCAGAAGTCGTGCCGCCAAGCGCCCATAGCGTGTTCCGGCATGTAGGGGCTGATGAAGCCGTATGGAGAATGGGTCTGAATAGTTGTGTTGCATAGAAGCCGTGTTGGTGGTGGATCGTTGTTTGTCATGTAGAGAGCTTAGTCGCGGAGGGTAGCGGGATCCGAAGCACGGCTTGCCGCTGGCCGACCGCAGACAGTTGGGGGCCCAACTAGTGGGCTAGCCACCCATGAAAGGCTGCCCCGCCATCTGTGTAAAATCCCAGGGTGGCTCCATCGTGCTGGTTGGCGACCAGGGGAGGGGGCCCGATGGCGATCCTTGGGGGGGTTCGGGCGTCCCCGCAGTCTCCAGACTAAGCCCTCTATGACGTGACAACATCAATATCACCGCCAGGCTCGTGCAGCGCCTCGTTCAACTGCCATTCTCCATCCTATTCACTCTTCCTTTTTAATAAATTCCATGACAAGACGCAAAAAGAGTAATGTTTTTAAGCGGCTGCACTCCCCCTCACTTAAAGTGCATCTCACAAATATACGAGGATTGCACACAAATCTCACATCAGTCCACTTCCACCTCGAGACTGCGCAGCCACACATGCTCTTTTTGACGGAGACGCAGATTCAATGTCCATTGAGCGCTGCGTACCTGGACTATCCCGGCTACACGTTGGAGCATAATTTCAGCTCACGGGCCGGAGTCTGTTTGTACATGCGAAATGACCTCTGTTTCCAGCGTCTCCGCCACCTTGAAGACCACACATTCTCTACAATCTGGATTATCGTAGATATAGGAATCGAAAAGATCCTGTATTGCTGTGTCTACCGATCGCACACAGGTGACCAGGAGACAACTCGATTATTTGAACATCTCAGTGAGGCCGCTGATGTGGCTATGCAACGGTACCCCACCGCGCAGCTTGTCTTTCTGGGGGACTTCAACGCCCATCATGAAGATTGGCTGTTCCCATACCAGAAGACGGACCATGCTGGGAGAGAAGCGTGGAAGTTTGCGGTGTCACTTGGACTCTCCCAATTGGTTGAACAAGCGACGAGGGTACCCGATGTAGACGGCCACTCAGCTAATTGTCTGGACCTTCTGCTGACAACTGATCCAGACAGATACAACATCCAGGTTTCATCCCCATTGGGTAGCTCTGACCACTGTCTGGTAAAAACTGTATCGTCTTACTCTCCACCAGATAACGACTCTACTGGTGTTAGACGAGTATGGCAATACAAGTCAGCAGATTGGGATGAGATGCGACACTTTTTTGCATCTTTTCCTTGGCGGCAGGTCTGCTTCTCTTCTTCCAATCCGTCGAGCTGTGCGGATGCTATAACTGATGTGGTGCATCAAGCGATGGAATATTTTATCCCGTTCTCTGATGTACCCGTTGGTGGCAAAGCTCGCCCATGGTTTAATGCCGAATGCACCATTGCTGAAAAGCGTAAGCAATCGGCTTACCTTGCCTGGGTTGATGCTCGAGACCGCAAAGCTCCGAATGTAAGATCCAAGAAGAGAGCCTTTAACTTGGCCGCTAAGTCCTACAAAAAGACATTAAAGAAGGCTCGTCTTGACCGAACTACACATCTTGGCGCAAAGCTCTGTGCCCAACCATCTGGCAGCAGAGCTTTTTGGTCCCTTGCCAAAGCGGTCGAGACGAACTTCTCTCGGCCCTCACTGCCACCGCTGGTAAAATCTGACGGATCCCTAGCTCATACGGCAGAGGAAAAGGCGACTTTGCTTGCCTCTCTTTTTGCCCAAAATTCATGTCTAGACTCTGGCAATGCCATTCCACCACATCTACCTCACTGCGGGATTTCAATGCCTGAAATCTGCATAACTAATAAGGAGGTAAAGAGAGTATTGTGTAGTCTAGATGTGAATAAAGCCAGTGGTCCTGATGGTATACCAGCGATAGTGCTTAAAACTTGTGCTCCCGAGTTGTCTCCGATACTGACACGTCTGTACCGCCTTTCTCTTAAGACTGGAATAGTACCTAAATCCTGGAAGCTTGCCAACGTGCAACCAGTGCCCAAGAAAGGAAGCCGTGCTGACCCTACCAATTATCGTCCAATCTCAATCACCTCCATACTCTGCAAGATTATGGAGCGTGTATTGAACACACGTCTTATGGCATACCTAGAACAAAACGACCTCCTCAGTGATCGACAATATGGATTTCGCCGGAACCGGTCAACTGGGGACCTTCTAGTGTGTGCCAATCACATCTTTGGCGAAGCTCTTGAGCGAAGCGGGGAGGCGATTGCCGTCTCCCTCGATGTCTCAAAGGCCTTTGATAGGGTCTGGCACGATAGCCTTATAAGCAAGCTTGCAGCCTATGGCATATCTCCTGGCCTGATCCGCTGGATTAAAGACTTCCTGAGCGACCGATCACTCAGAGTTGTGGTTGGGGGTTGTTCATCACAACCCTTAAAGACCAACTCAGGAGTTCCTCAGGGGTCTGTTCTCTCTGCAACCTTGTTCCTGCTACATATCAACGATCTGCTTATACCCGGTATCTATGGGTACGCAGACGACAGCACTATTGTAGAGAGATACCTGCCGAATCCTCGGGCCAGTAGAGATCAAATTCAGTCCGAAAGAGAGGCCATGGTAGAGCGGTTGAATCTCACACTCAGGACAGTCTCCACTTGGGGTGATGCCAATCTTGTGAGTTTCAACGCCACCAAAACACAGGCGTGCCTGTTCACATCAAAACGGAGTCCTTTTACCTTGACCCCTACTTTCCGGAATGTGCCTCTGGAATACACTGACCGTCTGCAGTTGTTAGGCATGGACATTCGCCCCAATATGAACTACGGGCGGTTCATTGAGTCTAGGGCTAATGTCGCAGCGAGGAAAGTTGGCATACTAGCAAAGGTCCGACAGTATTTCACACCGGGACAGCTTCTTGTTTTATATAAAGCTCAAGTCCGGTCGTGTGTGGAATACTGTAGTCACATTTGGGCTGGTGCTGCGAAGTGCCATCTGTCAGCCTTAGACTCAATTGAGAGGCGTGCCCTCAGGCTTATTGGTGACCCTACGCTGGTAAAAGCTAACTTACAAAGCCTCGATCACCGACGTAGGGTTGCCAGCCTTTGTGTATTCTATAGGTTACATTTCGGAGAGTGTGCGCAGGAACTACACGGCTTGATTCCTCCATCTCCTTTCTACCATCGGACAACCCGACGAACGGCTGGTCTCCATCCTTATGTCGTGGACATTCCACCCGTCCGGACGAAGCGTTTCGCTACGTCATTCATTATACGTGCGGCTAAGGATTGGAACAACCTGCCGGCGTCGGTGTTTCCGTCCGAGTACAACATGGGTGTCTTCAAGGCAAGAGTGAATAGGTGGCTACTGAATTAGTGTGACTTACCATCTACGACTGCGTTACCACTTACCATCAGGTGGAACGCAGTCAAGCACTAATTCAGAATACAATAAAAAAAAAAAAAAAAAAAAAAAAAAAAAAAAAAAAAAAAAAAAAAAAAAAAAAAAAAAAAAAAATTATCATTATTATGATTAATGAGATTGATGAAATAAATATCGCAAATTAGCATTGCCCGCGGCTCCGCCCGCGTTCAGTTGACCAAAATCCAAATTCTCAGGTTTTACATATTAATATACTCTTACATTGCAGTTTTTGTACTTTTTCTAAGTAATGAGATATATTCCGACGGTAAAAAGTATCCTATATGTTGACCCGGATAACCCAGCTATCACCATACCAAATTTCATCAAAATCCCTCCAGTGGTTTTTCTGTGATGCGGTAACAGACAGACAGACAGACAAAAATTCTAAAAACTATAGATTCGGCCTGTGTATCGATAATAATGTTTATTTCAATAAGATTTTCCAAAAAATATTTAATGTACAGATTCGGCTTAGTTACAATTTTATTATATTATGTATAGATATTTTATTACAAAAACATGTTTTAATAGACATTTAAGAATGGATAAAACCGTTTATACAGTGTTTTTAGCTATTCCAATTTCAACCTTATTTCCTTGTTTTAAGGGTGACATCGGGAATTTGTGACGCTATAGTAAACAAAGCAATGTTCCACGTATATAACCTAAACCCTAAGTGTGACGTCACAATTTTAGAAGCAGAATAGGACATTATAATATATTCTTTTATTTTACTTAATAAATAAAAAAAAAAACAAAATAAAACGACTATTTATTCAAACAAAAAAATTATTCAAAATTAGGCTTTTATATAGATAATTAATATCACAGATAATTAATAAGATGGAATTAATCAAGTATTTTTTCTAACTTTAACTGTATTTTCTTTGGTCGTGGTGTAGATATGAGTGTGACAGCGACTCGATCGCCCAGCTTCAGTAGAGCATTGCCCATGTTGCTGGTGTGTATGAGGCCGTCGTCTCCGACGCCGCAGTCGACGAAGCAACCGAATGGCACTACATTGCGTACTACGCCTGAAATAACAATAATATAATTATTAGGGTGGGGCGAAAAAAAATTTTTTTTCTTAGCTTGGGGGTAGAATTTGTAGCTTATAAAAAAAAACTTGTAAGTTTGATTTAATGAAAAATTAACAAAAAAAAAACGTTTAAAACCGTTTTCTGTTGTAAAACTGAGTTTGCATTGTATGTTTAAACAATATATGATCATATGAATATGTCACAGTCAACTGGCTAAATTAGCCAATTAACAAATGGTCCAGCCCGCTGATTAAGCGACGCCGCTTCACTAACACCTTGAATCACGTTACTTTTTTTTTAATTGACCAACTAGTTACTAGGCTAGCCGCGTGGGCAGACATTTAGTGCCTAAACTCAAAAGGCAACCGCGACCAAATTTTCCTCCGCTTGCTTCTTCTAAACCACGCAACGGGCAAATCTTGTTACATGAAAACACGGAAAAAACGAATTTTCTCAGACATGAGACCTAACTAGAACGCGTTTTCGCCCCCGTAAACGTCCATATTTTGACGACACGTTTGACTCAGGGTGTAGTGACCCACTTGCTGTGATCATTTATGTGATAAACACGAATCTTTGTACCCCAGTCATGGGTGTTTATATTTATAATATGTATATATATTACAAGTTAATATGTATTTTATAAAATATGTACCTATATATTAAAAGTTATATGTGTGTAGTGTATCAACTATCTGGTATCCATAACACAGACCTCGTAGCTTATCATGGAACTAGATGGCGCTGTGTGTTAATGTCCCAACATATTTATATTTATTCATATTGCAAATTTCATCGAAATCATATATATATATATATATATATATATATATATATATATATATATATATATATATATATATACAATTACTATTGCTCGTTTAATAGTTGATACATACCAGTTAAAGACATTCCCTTTTCCAACTGACTAGTTGCTTGTACAGTCATAGAGTACACAGGTCTGCAGAATGTGATCATGTTGTCTTCATACGCTTTCTGTTTGAACGCGTTTATTATAAGCTCCAATGTACTAACTTCGGTGTCTAAATCCTTACTCATCGATATAGTATCGATGTTAGCACATTTCCTTTCGACTTGTTGAGGAAAATGTGCTTGGGTTAGCTCTTTTATGTTGACTCCAATCTTTTTAGCGAATCTGTTGGTTAATGTTGTATGTTATAGACAAAGTTTATTATATAGGTGTTCTATATAATGTCTAGGCAATGTAAAAAAGTATAAAAAAAAAGTTAAAGCGGGTTCAAGTTCCGGGTCTTGAACCTCTAATATTTTCATGTGGGAATGAATCATTTCCAACATGATTTGCCTGTAATCGAAAGACAAGTGCTTGGACTTGTCCACGGTCCAACCACTTGTCTTATGGTGAAGAAAACGTGTCGTGAGGAAACCTGCATATCTGAGAAACTTAACGAGTTTTTAAGTTTTTGCCAGCTTGATGGACTATAGCATGATCCCCTTTGTAGTAGAGAGGCCCATGCCCAACAGTGGGACCTTAAGAAAAGGGCTAAATATATGTATTTACAAAAGTATAAACAAACAAAACCACAAACAGACAGTATAGTTATAAATAAAATAATTATTAACTACTTACGCTTTAGCAATAGAGTAACTTTCAGGGTGTATAATGGTAGAATCTAAAGGTTCAGGTCCACCTAACACCTTGAGAAAGCCTGCACATTGCTGGTAGGTTATCTTTCCTATTCCGCTCACTTTTAGAATTTCAGCCCTTGTTTTAAAACCACCATTTTCTTGACGGTGCGCCATGATCTTTTTCGCGCGGCCATCGTTTAATCCTGATATTCGTCTGAAAAAATATAAGAAACATATCTTAAAAATATTATATGAACAAATCAATACATGTATCAATAAAAATTAAATATGGCTTAATATTAACCGTTTCATCCGTTATTGTGATGAAGCGAATGATTGTCATCAACGATATTAATTATTTTAAATATCAAAAAATAAAAATATTTTTAGATATAGGTACTCTTTTTTAAGTCAACTAAAAGTTTTAGTTAAGTTTATATCTATCTTTTCCATTCTACGTGACATTGGCGAAGAAAATTGTGCTTAACTGGGACACTTTGAAGCCATTAACACGAGAATTGAAGTTTATCCAAAAAGCCAATAGGTTTAATGACCTTTTAAATAAACTTTACTAGAAGGGCTTTTACATAATTTTGCATGATTTTGATAAAAACTAAAATTGTTTTTTTTTAATTTTGAACTTTCCTAGCTGGGCCTCGAACTCGATGCTTTTGAAAAATATGTCATAATATCATATATTATTGCATCGTTTGATAGTGACAATTACAAAAATTAACGTTTGGACATTAAAAGTAGATATCCACTAAAAATACATACATGTAGAATATGAAATTAAACAAATAAATATAAATAACCAAACAAAATTACCAATAGTAATAACAAAGCCAATATCTATAATTAAATATATAATATATGAAATATGGCTTAGCCTTGCTATTCAGTATGTAGGCATTGATAAGGCCGCTTTCACACGTCACGACAGTTAGGGACCATTAATTAATTACGTGAAGGCAATTTTGGCCATTTCTGACCGCCCCCGGTCACACCTCACGCACCGCTCCTACGTCGGATCTCTCACCGCGAGTGTCTAAGTATCGACCAATTGGACATTGGAAGTGAAGGAAATATAGTGTACTTTTGTTTGTATACTCTCTCTCCCTCTCCTTTTCTCTCTCTCTCTCTCTCTCTCTACTATATATCTCACAATGAAATTGACGATGACCAAAATTGGCCAGGACGACATTATCATCATACCTTAACATGGCGTGTGACGCAGTATTAAGGTCGACGCCCACTAGACTGACCACTTTTTCCACAGTAGCATCCAGTGCGGTTTCCAACATCTTCGGCGGAATGTCGTGTTGGTAGAGACCGACGCCTAAGTTTTTAGGGTCCACCTATGGATAGAATGATATTTTTGAAGTTATACTTCTCTTGACACGTTTGGAAAAAATATAAGAGTAAAATCTTTACGATGCGCGCGCACACCGACAGCTAAATAGCGACATGATGAAGTTAGCTGCATTTCTTTACAAGCAGAGAGTTGTGACATACGGGGTGAAATTTTTAGCTATTTTTGTTCTTTTACGCCAAAGATGTATAACTTCACATTCGTTTTGTCTTTGCCGCTTTTCCGCCATTTTCAGCTAACGGCTGGCAAAGAAACAGTCATAATATGTCTATGATCGATCATTCATCAACATTCTATCATCATCATGATATCTTAAACATATTTATGTGGTTACCATGGTAACCATGGTGACCACATAAATATGTTTATTTGACTTCATATAAGAGTCCTAGTTTAAGAGCTTGAAATTAATATAGTTGTACTGAAACAAAACTAATATACATATACAATTATTTCTTACTTACTTTTATCAATTCACCTAAAGGATCCAAAACTCTTCTAGCAATCGATAACGCTGATATCAAATTAGGGTCCATATTGGGGTGTTCCTAAAACCACACTAAAATTATAAATAAAAAAATGTAATTATGTTTATAATCTGTTTATAGGAATAGCATGTAGGCTATGTGAACTTGGCACCCGACTTTGGAAAAATTGTTCTTTTTTAGGTTTATTTGATCGATTTCGGTTAGTAGTAGATAGTAGTGAAGCTAACTTCGTTTGTAGTAGTGCCAAAAAAAATATACAGACAACAAAAAAAATGTCATCCCCCGAAGTTGGTAAAAAAAAATTTTTCCGCTTGATTCGTATAGAAAAACGTTAGTAGTGGTTTGTAGTGCAATTTTTTTCGTTTGTAGTAAAACAAAAAAAAATATTTTTTTTTCGAGTATTTTTGCAGAACGATTTTTACTACATACATTCATTGTTTCGTTTGTAGTACCATTATTTCATTTGTAGTAACGTTAATTTTGGTTTGTAGTACCATTACTTCGTTTGAAGTAAGGTTAATTTCGTTTGTAGTACCATTACTTCGTTTGTAGTACCATTATTTCGTTTGTAGTACCATCATTTTGATTGTAGCTGTTTGTAGTAACGTTAATTTCGTTTGTAGTACCATTATTTCGTTTGTAGTTGTTTGTAGTAACGTTAATTGCGTTTGTAGTACTAAAAACGAAATTAACGTTACTACAAACAGCTACAATTGAAATGATGGTACTACAAACGAAATAATGGTACTACAAACGAAACAAAGGTACTACAAACAAAATTAACGTTACTACAAACAACTACAAACGAAATAATGGTACTACAAACGAAATTAACGTTACTACAAACAACTACAAACGAAATAATCGTACTACAAACGAAATTAACGTTACTACAAACAGCTACAATCGAAATGATGCTACTACAAACGAAATAATGGTACTACAAACGAAATAATGGTACTACAAACGAAATAATGGCACTACAAACGAAACAATGGTACTACAAACGTAACAATGGTACTACAAATGAAATTAACGTTACTACAAACGAAACAAAGGTACTACAAACAAACTTAACGTTACTAAAAACAACTACAAACGAAATAATGGTACTACAAACGAAATTAACGTTACTACAAACAACTACAAACGAAATAATGGTACTACAAACGAAATTAACGTTACTACAAACGAAACAATGGTACTACAAACAAAATTAACGTTACTACAAACAACTACAAACGAAATAATCGTACTACAAACGAAATTAACGTTACTACAAACAGCTATAATCAAAATGATGGTACTACAAACGAAATAATGGTACTACAAACGAAATAATGGTACTACAAACGAAATAATGGTACTACAAACGAAGTTAACGTTACTACAAACGAAACAATGGTACTACAAACAAAATTAACGTTACTACAAACAACTACAAACGAAATAATCGTACTACAAACGAAATTAACGTTACTACAAACAGCTACAATCAAAATGATGGTACTACAAACGAAATAATGGTACTACAAACGAAATAATGGTACTACAAACGAAATAATGGCACTACAAACGAAAAAATGGTACTACTACAAACGAAATTAACGTTACTACAAACGAAATAATGGTACTACAAACGAAATTAACGTTACTACAAACGAAACAAAGGTACTACAAACAAAATTAACGTTACTACAAACAACTACAAACGAAATAATGGTACTACAAACGAAATCAAGGTTACTACAAACAACTACAAACGAAATAATGGTACTACAAACGAAATTAACGTTACTACAAACGAAACAAAGGTACTACAAACAAAATTAACGTTACTACAAACAACTACAAACGAAATAATGGTACTACAAACGAAATTAACGTTACTACAAACAGCTACAATCGAAATGATGGTACTACAAACGAAATAATGGTACTACAAACGAAATTAACGTTACTACAAACAACTACAAACGAAATAATGGTACTACAAACGAAACAATGGTACTACAAACGTAACAATGGTACTACAAACGAAATTAACGTTACTACAAACAACTACAAACGAAATAATGGTACTACAAACGAAATCAAGGTTACTACAAACAACTACAAACGAAATAATGGTACTACAAACGAAATTAACGTTACTACAAACGAAACAATGGTACTACAAACAAAATTAACGTTACTACAAACAACTACAAACGAAATAATGGTACTACAAACGAAATTAACGTTACTACAAACAGCTACAATCGAAATGATGGTACTACAAACGAAATAATGGTACTACAAACGAAATTAACGTTACTACAAACAACTACAAACGAAATAATGGTACTACAAACGAAACAATGGTACTACAAACGTAACAATGGTACTACAAACGAAATTAACGTTACTACAAACAACTACAAACGAAATAATGGTACTACAAACGAAATTAACGTTACTACAAACAACTACAAACGAAATAATGGTACTACAAACGAAATTAACGTTACTACAAACGAAACAATGGTACTACAAACTAAATTAACGTTACTACAAACAACTACAAACGAAATAATCGTACTACAAACGAAATTAACGTTACTACAAACAGCTACAATCGAAATGATGGTACTACAAACAAAATAATGGTACTACAAACGAAATAATGGCACTACAAACGAAACAATGGTACTACAAACGTAACAATGGTACTACTACAAACGAAATTAACGTTACTACAAACGAAATAATGGTACTACAAACGAAATTAACGTTACTACAAACGAAACAAAGGTACTACAAACAAAATTAACGTTACTACAAACAACTACAAACGAAATAATGGTACTACAAACGAAATCAAGGTTACTACAAACAACTACAAACGAAATAATGGTACTACAAACGAAATTAACGTTACTACAAACGAAACAAAGGTACTACAAACAAAATTAACGTTACTACAAACAACTACAAACGAAATAATGGTACTACAAACGAAATAACGGTACTACAAACGAAGTAATGGTACTACAAACCAAAATTAACGTTACTACAAATGAAATAATGGTACTACAAACGAAACAATGAATGTATGTAGTAAAAATCGTTCTGCAAAAATACTCGAAAAAAAATATTTTTTTTTTTGTTTTACTACAAACGAAAAAAATTGCACTACAAACCACTACTAACGTTTTTCTATACGAATCAAGCGGAAAAAATTTTTTTTACCAACTTCGGGGGATGACATTTTTTTTTGTTGTCTGTATTTTTTTTTTTTGGCACTACTACAAACGAAGTTAGCTTCACTACTATCTACTACTAACCGAAATCGTTCAAATAAACCTAAAAAAGAACATTTTTTCCAAAGTCGGGTGCCAAGTTCACATAGCCATAGCATGTAAACTACTTTTTAGTTTTTACTTCAAAGATTAAAAAGCATATATTCTTAAAAAACATAAAAATAACAATGTTCCGCATTTAATATCAAACTATTCTAATACACAAATGTGTATACATAAAATATAGTAAATTTTAAAAAATAACAACTACAATTATTAGAAAATATGTTAACGAGACAAATATTCATTTTTTCAACCACACAAAAAAAAAAGATTTTAAATACATTTTTTTTTAATATGTAACTACAAAACGGTTTTCGGATCTTCCCTTTACTTATAAATAAAATAATAAATAAATATGTCAGAACATTAACACACAACACCATCTAGTTCCATGGTAAGTTACGAGGCTTGTGTTATGGATACCAGATAGTTGATACACTACACATATATAACTTTAAATACATACATATTATAAATATATGATATTATGTTATGAGATATTGCTTCTTGCCAAATTTCATGATTCAAGGTCAAAGGGAAGTATTCTAGGTTTTGATTCCCTTGTGAATGTCCAAATATGCAGCATAAACGGACGTATCTTTTGATTGCGTTGACTTAGACGTATTTGATATTTATTTTAAATAAAACTATCTTTTCGGATTATTTTGATTTTATTTAAAATATCAAATGTTCGCGTAGATCTAAGAAAGTGTTATTTGATATATATTTCAACTTGATACCACACGTTAACAAAGTTGACAGATAGACAGACAATGAAGTGAGGCTCTTTTATTCTATTTGTGGTATGGAACCCTATAAATAATAATAATTTTATTCGTTACCTTTTGAGCTTCCTTACTGATAGAGTAAATGGAAGCGCCTTGTTCAGGAACTATGATGACGGGTATGTCGTCCGATATGTGGTGCTTTTTTAGCCAAGACTCGGTTTCCCGACACGCCGTGCCATTGCCGAGGCCAATTAATTCTACCCTAATAATAATAATAATACCAATTCATAATCCAGACAAATAAGGTCTGAAATCAATTAACCGAGTTAATTCTGACCGGAGGAAAAAAAGTCACGATACTTTTTTTAATGTAAAATTTTAAGTACTACACATTTTTATTAAAACTTTTTTGTCTCATTTTTACCGTTTTCGAGTAATTGCGGAAAAACATTTTTGACATTTTTTTTCAACCCTTGCCGGGGGTTGCAGACACGAAAACCTTTACACAATGTTTTGGTACCATTAAAAGTACAGTATATCAAAAATGCAAAGTTGAGTGCCAAAAATGTTGGGAAATGCATTTACGCACGAGGTGTGGGACTCACCGGCAAAGCCAGTACTGCCCACTAAAACCCAACAAAGCCTTCCCCCGTCTTAATGGGGCGTCGCAGGGTCGCTTGCGCATTCAACTACGACGCCCCGACGGCAGGTCTGCCGAAGCAGACCACAACAACCATGGGGTTACTCCAAGGTCCACTCTGCTATCAGAGAAGTACCAGGAGCAACCCGCATGGCCCACTGTACTTTTTGCATGTAAGAATAACAAACATCCATACATTTATCTTCACAAAATTTCGCATTTAGAGTGTTACTTTTATATGAAGGTATACAACAAAAATAAAGAAATATACCTGTGTTTTGCTAGAAGACCTTTTAATTGGTTGGCAGCAGGATCATTGTTTGAGTGGAAATTTGGATATATATTACAGGCTTCTAATTTTGCCCCAGTGTTGTCAATGATGCCGACCTAAAAGTTATATGAGGATTAAATATCATCGAAATAAATATCACAGCCTCGTTGGTCTAGTGGTAAGGTAATATATATCGTAAAGTCCCGAGTTCGGGTTTCAGGTCTGGTCAAAATAATTACTTTGTTTTTCTATCATAAAATAGCAGTCCAGACTCCCAGAGTGAGGAAGTTGCCTTAGGGGGTACTTTAAGATATCACTAATGCGCCTGATCTCTCATCGCGAATGTCATCCCATTGTATAAGTACAATGGGACGACACTCGCGAAGAAATAGAGAATGCATGTTGTGCCTTTTGCCCCATATTTAATTATTTATTTATATACACTAGTGTTCACAATAGAAATAACATAAAGATGGAATAAATTAATTTAAAACAAAAAAACACATTTTTGAAAACACGCTTTTATATCATATAAATGAGTTTGATTTAATATACCACAATAGAACCTAATACTTAGAAATTCTACAAATATATCTATACATATAATATATATCTCTAAAATATGCTTATATTATAGTCATTCAAGTGATTTAGAGAAATGGTCAAGATAATGGTTTTTAACATATTTTTTATGATTTGGAACATTATTAATGAAATATTGACATAAATGAAGAAAAATCAATTTCACCTTACATCCCGCTTTGAATCCAGGGTCCAAACCTCCTATTACCCTATTCTTTATGGGTTCTGTCAATAAATACTTTTCGAGATTATTAGTGAATGTTTTCACAGCTTCCTTTTGAGCTGCTGTAGTTAGATCTGATCTAATTTGTCTAGAAAGCCATGGCTTGATAAGTCTATTATATGCATCTCCCAAGCCTTTGCGAACCCAATGATTACTTTTCCATAATGTTAAACAGAACCTATAACAGAAAAAAAATCAAATTTTAAAATGTTGATGAAAATTACACATAAATATGACACAAATAAATCATAAACACATACATATAATCAAATGATATACTAATTATACAACACAATATAAATTAATTAACTTAATCCCTCCACGACCGCGGACACGCCGGCGTTACAGTTAACAATAGATTTCTTAGAAATTTAATTAATTAGAAATTTACCTGGAGGTGTTAACTTAATATAAACATATATGATAAACTAGCGACTGACACCCACTTCACTCAGTTTGTCCCTAGTGAAAAAGAAACATAAATCTATCCCATGAGAACCATATATTTTTCTGTGATAAAACATATGTGCTATTCCAGACTATAATCTATCTCTGTGTCAAATTTCATCAAGATCCGTTCAGTCATCCTGGTGTGATTGAGTAACAAACATCCATCCATCCAAACTTTCGCATTTATAATATTAATAATGGAATTAAATACCTTTCAAGTTTATTATAAAACCAATCTGGAACAACAACTTTTACAGACAGTATCTTTTCATCTTCACCTCTATTTACAGCTAATGTTTGATAACACTTAACAAACTGTACTGGGCATTTCCACTCAAAATACAGTTTGTATGTCTCTGGGTCTGACTTTGTGTCAGACTTTTTGTTATCATTTTCTTTCTTTTCCTTTGTTGAACTCTTAGTTCTACTGCTTTGTATAGTAAACCTTGTTTCTTGTTTCCTACGGTAATTATTTATTATGTATATTAAATTCAAAAATCAATAATAAAAGTAGTCAATCTTTAATATCATGTAAATTATTTATACCCAATATATGTAAGTATTACTTTAAGTTATTAGTAAATAACTCTGTATTTTAAGTATGCCATCTTAAGTTTGTCATCACTTAACACATGATATTTTTCTTTGTTTCTTTGATTGTTATGTAAACTAAAGCAGTTATAAATGAAGTATTTGGTTATACTGTAATACTGCATAACCTGTGGTACCCGTACTGCAAATGTATTATTTATTTTTATTTTATTATAATTCAGTTTGCCAAAGAAATAATAATGAGAATGAAATACTTGCGTATATAAAATTGAACACAACTAAAAGACACTGCATTATTCCCGGGTTGTTTATTATTGCAGTATCACAAACAATATAACATTTTAAATATACTACATCACGGTATTACATATCATTGCTCCATTCATACTCTACTCTATATGAAATAAAATATAATTTGAAAACAACAACTTACAACGTTCTCATTTCTTGTAGAACCCTTGCATCTTTATATATAATGTCAGCAACAATATGTGTAATATGAGCCTCAACTTTGTCTACTGTTACAAGCTCTTCATTGTCATCACATAGAAGCCTTAAGTCAACGTAATCTCCATTTAGACATCTAATGGCATGTGATTCTAAGCCCAACTTCCTAGCTCTTTCAGCCAATGATAGGGAGTGTGACTTTAATGGCCCATACTGTAGGTAGATTAAAATGCGTACTCATTAAATATAACTATTAATTTATTGATTAATATTTTTGTAACAAGTTTAAAAAAAAACAATATGTATTTATAATATTAACAGTACTAGCTAACATAACAGTATTATACTTTTAGACATTTAATTTTATATATCATTATTTTGTACATATAGCTATCAAACTTACCACTAAATCCAGCTCAGATAAAGTTTTAGTTTTTAATATACTTTGTTCTATATCTGCTGTAAGCTTGTTAGATTTCTTCAAAGTGTCTAATACTGACTTTACTTTCTTTTTAAACTGGATAACATTTTGATAGCTTTCATACAATTCTTGAAGCCTGAAAATATGTATTATATTTTGTTAGATAGGAATCACTGTGATAATATTATTTTTAGATAATAATAAATTAAAAACATTTGCATACCTATCTGGCATTAGATGTTCTACAGCTTCCTTACGGTATCTTGCAATAAATGGCAATGTGCAGCCATCTGATAGAAGAGAAATAAATTTTTGTGCAAGACTTGGAGTAACTTTCTCAAAATAAGCCAGCATTTCAGCTTCATTCCAATTATTGCTATATAAATCATTTTGAGAGTTACATTCAGCATTTGGATTATTAAAATTATCTGAATCTGTCTCATCGACTTTTTCAAAGATTTCGGGTTTAATTTTTTTATTTTTATTGGTTTCTTTGTTAACCTTAACGGTAGCTTTTTTGGAGGGGACTGATTTAGAATTTAAACTTTTAACAACTTTTAGAGACACCTTTTTAGCAATGGGCTCCTCAATATTGTTGTCGACATCTTTTAGCTTCCTTTTCCTTGAACGAGTCTCTTTACCCTCCATGCTAGTAAATATATTCACAAATTATTGAATGGACATCTAATAACCAAGACGTGAATTAAATTCAAAGCAAATGTCCAATGTCAGAGACCAGAGTTTAGCTTCAGACAGCTGTCGCCTGCAGGGCTGCCAACAGTCGTTGATTTATATATGTAGCAATATACTCTATGGTCGTTGATTTACATTTTACTAGAGTAATAAACCTCAAAATACTAGGTTTATCCCGCCACGCCGGCGCCAACCATGAGTAGAATACCCGAATTTAGTTGTTTCATATAGAATAAAAGAAAGTACTAACGTCAGAAAAAGAAGTCATAGTAACAAGTAATCAGTTCTCAATTAAACAGCTTTAAATTGTGAAATCAAACATAAAAAGAAACTCAAAATATCAAATCAATCAGCTAAACTAAAATACCTGCTTTGACCCCGCTCAATGCATATGCAATTCATACCCGTCAAAATTACCCGCCATCAAAAATCGTCTAAATTACCAGCTTTTCGGGTAATTTACCCGTCAATTGGCAGCGCTCATTCATCCATGGTCAGCTGTAAGGCAGAGTGCAGACTGCTTATATGTAGCAATATACTCTATGAGACTGCTGATCGAATGGCGAGTCTTCATTATTATTCATCTATGGTCTCAGCGATGACTTCTGTCATATTGTCTTGACTTCTTGAGTCTTCCTAATCTGTGGCTGGCTAAAGACCCGCAGGTTTTTTTCTAAATTTCGATTTTTTTATATAGATTTTTAATAATTATTTACCACTAGAACCCCGATTCCGGCATCTCTGCCCGCGCTTTATGACATGCAACACTTGAACACCCGTTAAACACACTCCCGTTCCGTGAAGCAGCGGGGTTCAAGTGGTTAAAGTTAAAACCTAGGAGCCACTGTATAAGCACGGTAATATTACATACAGTATTCCATCTTCATACAAAAGGTCGGAAATCGAGTTATACCTACGCGCGTCGCGTTCGGTATACACTCGGTAGACAACCATGCGGGGCTGCCACATCGTATAATTTGATACGAAAATTTTATAAGATGGTTATGTTATTTAACTTTTATAATTAAATAGGATACAAAAATAAACATTTTATTCCTTCCGTAAATTCGCTATTATGTCAAACAAAAAAGTATCGAGACATCGTATGTTTTAAAAATAAAAACTAATTAATTAAATAAAAAATAAAGTATTTTTAATTAAATTTTTTATGCGAATGCGGATTTTTTATACTATTAAACTTAACAATAAAGCTTTTCGTATGTCTCAGTCGAGGTGCAAATACCACCCTTATAAATTTGAGATTTTTTAATTAAATCTACTAATAATATTTTTTAGTTAAATTATATAATATTTGAAATCACAAAACTAGAAAGAAACTCAAGTAGGTAGATGAAATTAAAATACTAGCCGGCGGGCAGTCATGTCGCGTGAGTACGTGCCGCTCGGCTGTAGGTAATTATTTCAAGAACAGGCTCGAGTTGGAATACTGTATGCATTACATTACCGTGGTTTAAGTAAAAAAAAAATTGTAATACGGAGTACGGACGTAAAGATAAAAAAATGCATTTAATTGATTTATATTTATATCATGTACCTATTAATTATCCTTTTGTATCGGACTACTACAAATGCGAAAGTATGTATGGTTTTATGTTTGTTACTTCTTCTCGCTGTAGCTAAAGATACCTTCTGTCCAAAATCCTTTAAACATTAAATTATTTAAACGATTTAATTAAACAAACGCACACAGATAAAACTTGCATACATAATAGTTGTATTAGGAACATTGTGAAACGATTAGAAATATTACTTATTTATTTATCTATACTACTATTATAAAGAGGTAAAGTTTGTAAGTTTGTGACGTTGTAGGGGGTTATCTCTGGATCTACTGAACGAAAGGCGAAATTTAGTAAGATTATTTGAGACCCTGCGAAGGACATAGGATACTTTTTATCCCGGAAATCATCCCTTAAGGGGATGAAAGTTACTATGGGGAATCAACCTAAGGACGAACCTGAGCAAAGCTAGGGTGAGTCGCCAGTAACTAATAAAAGCTTGTTATAATGAGAAATTTTTTGCAAGAATAAAGTTCGATACTTGTCCTCTGGATGGCGGTAGTAGTGATCTGCATCGCGCAAGCATTACGTTCACTTTAACGTGATATGTAATGAAGTAAAACATATTTTATTTTACGTTCTGTACTTTATTGGAATTTTTGAGATGCGTACTCTTGAGGTACGTATGTGAATGAATTATGAAGGAACTAACGATTTATCGGCTGCAGTTTAGAATATGGGACATTACCCCCTGGCGGAGTGGGTGGTATTTCTGGATAGGGGACGTGATAGGGCGTCGAAAAGTTAAATAAATTTTTTTCCGAAAACGTACGAGTAAAAAGTTATTGAGACTTAAAGTTACAACATCTCCATACATTATTTTGACATTACTACCATTTAGACACTTGGAGTCAAAACGTCACTTTCAATTGTCAAAATGATCTCCAGATGATTGTCTTTATTTGTTCTTGCGTGAAATTCGAATTTTCTAGTTTTCTAGTCATTTATGGCACTCGCCGGCCGCTACCGCGGCACGCTCGCTTCGCTCGCTCGGCTCGTGCGTTGTGGCAACTGTTCTAACCTAACCTAACCAAGATATGACGAATAATTAATAAATAATCTTAAATGTTCTAACCTAACCTAACCCAGATATGAGGAATAATAAATAAATGATATGACGAATAATAAATAAATAATTAAAAATATTCACAGATAAAAAAATGATTTTTTTTACTAAATGTACAATTGTAAAACAATATATTTTACATAAATCAAATAAAAAGTGATAAATGTATTTATAAAGTGAAAATAATATTTTTCTTTTTATTTATTTATTTATTAATATTAATATTTTACCAACAGAAAAAGCAAACATAATCAAATATAATCTGTTGTCATTTAAGCGGTAATATAAAACAAAGTGTCAGTTTTGCTTTTGTCAAAATGTAAGATCATTTTGTTTGTGTTGTGAAATTATTAAAATATTAAATACAATAAAGCATTAATTGTTGTGAAAATATGTCTTGTACATAAAAAAGGATGCGTACTATTCGTTAAAGGTATGTTTATCTGTTGTAATCACTTATTTAGGTAAAGAAATGTATGGAAATGTGTTAGATATGTTATAACTTTAAGTCTCAATAACTTTTTACTCGTACGTTTCCTCCAAATATTTTTAATATATTTTGACTCTCTGTTACCTCCCCTATCTAAAAATACCACCCACTCCGAATGGTGGAAAAGAAATATATGAAAATGTATGGAAATGTTGTAACTTTAAGTCTCAATAACTTTTTACTCGTACGTTTTCGGAAAATTTTTTATTTAACTTTTCGACGCCCTATCACGTCCCCTATCCAGAAATACCACCCACTCCGCCAGGGGTAATGTCCCATATTCTAAACTTGTACCGATTTATCTTTGTTTCGCTCTGCGTTGCTATTAATTAAACTGAGTCGAATCTGAACATGAAATATTTCTTTGAAAATCTTATCGAAATTATCATTATTATCGATACATCATACAGCAGGTGATTTTATAATTTTTAGATTTTTGTCTGTGTGTCTGTCTGGGAACGCATCACGATAAAGCCACTGGACAAACTGCCTGTTTGTCTGGGAACGCATCACGAGAAAGCCATTGGACACTGGACAGATTTTGATGAAATTTGGCATGATAATAATTTATCTAATCCGGGTCAATATATAGTATACTTTCTAGTTTTTGCTGCGGGAAAATATCTCATCTGTGAGCAATCTATACAAGACGTTAAAACACTCTAGGGACGAACCCGAGGTGAGCGAGGGTGAGCCGCTAGTAGGTAATAAGAAGATTAAAAATATTATTCTTTAGTAATTTTTAATAAACATTTATCTATATTTACATTCCAATCTATAAAACAATTTTTCATCAGACACAATTTTTTTTGTTTAAAATTTGAAGAATCTGGAAAAGTAAAGTTTCTTAGTAAATAAAATAACAATACTCAAAAACAGTTATTAAAGAATATTGCTCTTACCTAAAATCATCACAAATTTGTTAAATGTGTCCTTATTTCGAATAACACTAGCTATGTAGATGTTAATACTATTATTTCTCTTATAAAAGAATTCAAAAACATTTAACAAGGCCTGTAATATTGATGGATCATAAACTATATCTGCTCCAATTATAATATCTGGTATCAAACATGTAGATAAATCATTAATTTCATTCCAGTCTAACATCAGGGTGCCTAGAAAATTATATAACTTATTTTATATGTAATTTACATGTTTATAATGAATTTACCATGTTAGCTTATATTGCTAACAAATATATATATACATAAGTATTTAATTAGTGCATAGTATAAGTTTGAGGTGTGTTGTGTGAGGCAATAAAAATGCAGCTGTGCAAAAAAGTATAACAAATTGGCAAGAATTAAGTTATATTTTATAAAATATTTAAACTGCCTCATATTTATTGTAGTTATTGCTATTTACTAACACTCCCCAAAAATTAATAAAATTGATTTGTGATTAAAAATTTAAAACAATATGTAAATCTGTTGTTTAATATTATTTAATTTTACTTTAAATAAATTATTTTGTGATTAAACAGTTTATTATGGTTTAGCTATTTTATTTCATATTCACTGTCAATTAATTTTATTTTTTAATAATTTACCTATCATTTTTGTATCACTTTTATACATTGTTGCATTAGATCTTTCTTCTGAAATAGCATTAGGGAAATTAATTTGGATATTTTCATGAATTGTTTTCAGAACTTCAGCATGACAATCACTCATTATTATAGATTTTATTTGACAGTGTTTGGCTATAGTTATGCCTGTAAAGCCTACTCCAGAGCCAAGTTCTAATATTTTCTTATTCGAAAATAATTGTTTGTTGCACAAAGACCAATCTGATAACATTAGAGCAGCCTGTAAAAAATATACATCCAGTATAAAATTGTAAATGTATTTGTTAATAGTAAAAAGTGATAAAAAAAACTTACCTCCCAAGTTTTCAACCCAGTGGTCCCATTAATTACCATATTTCTTGTTTCTTTTATTGTTATAATATCAGATAAGTTGTTGTTAATAACATAATGATGATAATTAAAACCATTCTCATCACAGTTTTTCATTGTAGAACATATGAATGTGTACATATCATCATGAACTTCTTGGTCTGCCTGATCTAAAGTCTGTATTAAGTTTTTAAAAAACAATCTACAAAAATTTAAATTAATAGGATACTTTTTAAATAATGATGAATGAATAGTTTGATTTAAAAAAGTTTCTTGGTTGGTCCAAGTCATTAATTTGATGTCTTCAGGCTGAAAATAATTTAGTAGTATTGTATTAAAACACTTACCAATATAAATTAAGAGAATTATGTATAACTATTTCAACTTACTTTTAAATCAATATGTGAGCTTTTAAAAAAGTTTAAAACTAGTTTCATAATTAACTCATTATTTGCGTCACACATTATTTGATAGTCTTATCAACAATGCAATTAGAATTTAGAAAGTATATATAAAACTCCAAATAATTGTAGATTTTAATATGGCTCAGCTTTAGTATACCAGTTCACCAGTAGACTCTTGATTTTTTTTGTGCAAAGTACTTATTATCTTGAGTATTTCCACAAAGTTTCAAGTGGAGGAAACAAATACTTTTGGAAATAAAAAATATCAAAGTTCGATAAATATAACCTCAATTCTGCATTATATTATTGTTTTGATCATGGATGACAAATAAAAGTTTTGACGTAATGTTGTCAAAAGTGTTGCTACTTGCTATTTTAGAGAGTTTTAATTATGCGTTTTGATTTTGCAAGACAGGAGTGTTTGCCATTTAAGGGAGTTTTAATTATGCGTTTTAATTTTGCAAAGAATAAGTTGACGTGCATTTTAATATTTATTTGAAAATTAACATTATTTTATTTGGTTTTAACAATTTCATAGTGATTCCAGATTTTTTTGGGTGAATAACTACGAAAATTTTGATTTTGTGACAATCTAAAGGTATTTTCGCAAACGCTCTAGCAACCACTTTGTGCATTTTTGTGTCATAGGTCATTCTGCTTTATAAAATTTTCCCTTAACTATGAAGACTACACTTTTCCTTTGCGGGGGGTGATCTACACCCTCCTCCCTACCCCTCTCACCCCCAAATATATACACTTGCTGCCAAGGTCTTATTCTAAGGTCCTCCCTAATATATTTATTGTTTTGTGTAATAGTTTATATTATTATAATATAAACTAATAATTTTGACAAACACAAAGGATCTTAATTTATATTAGTATGGTTATACAAAATATTCGAGTAGTACAACGTGGTACAACACTAGCTCCAAAGTGATAAGCGGGGGGCGCGGAAGCACACACGTGTTGTGTCAACCCGTACACGCGCCTTTTTTTTTTTTTTTTTTTAACGTTGGGAAATGCATTTACGCACGACGTGTGGGACTCACCGGCGTAATACAGCCAGTACTACCCACTAAAACCCAACAAAACCTTCCCCGTCATAATGGGGCGTCGCAGGATCGCTTACGCATTCAACTACGACGCCCCGACGGCAGGTCTGCCGAAGCAGACCACCACAACCATGGGGTTGCTCCACAGTCCACTCTGCTATCAGAGAAGTACCAGGAGCAACCCGCATGGTACACCGCCCCCCGAAAAGGGCCACTTCCCACCGCCCACCGAAGTGGGCAACCTCCCTGTGCGTTTCTTAGCTTCGCGCCCGGTTGGATTGCCGGGCACTACTGACCCGCAACACCCGCTCACGCCTGTGTAATTTAGTTAAAATTAGCGTTTTCTGATTAAAATATTATTTACCGATTTTATTATACTTGCTAGCGCGCGCTCTATGGCATGTGTATACTTTAAGATGCAAATGGTTAACTGGAACGTGAATTAGTTGAATTAGTTTTCCAGTGCACCAGTACAGGGCACTAGGTCCAGTGTTGAAAGAAAAAAATATAACTAATTAATATGTATATAATATATTATAACAATACATATAGTCGATATTATTAATTATATAATAAATATATAATAATATATAACTAATTAATATATAATTATATAAATAAAATATAAACAAATATTACTAACGATAATGTAAATAAAATTTTGATCAATGCTTCCTCGAAGTTTCACACATACTTATATTTATTTTTGAATACAGTATAAATTAACTTTTTTATATTTTATCAGACTACGTAGCTAAAGCTTTCAAGCTTTACGAATTAGTTCAACAATAAACAATATTACTATATAATGTACAATGATCAATGCCACCTTGAAGAAAACACACTTATTTTTTTGTTTTTGAGGTGGTATCCTTGTGCGCATCACGCCAAAGCAGTACTTTTCGAAAAGGTCGATTGAGCGGAGCGTTGCCGTAGTTGAAACATTCGAAGTTAGTATTATGCCGCATGATACGCTTTAGTGCTCTAATTGGAAAACAGGATAAAGTCAAGTATGTCACTTAGTTTGCCAGTAAGTTTGTCAGTGTCAACTGTCAACTTACTGTCAGAGTAATTTGTTAAATGTTAATTTTGAGGTTATTTTTAAAATTATTTTATAAAGTTCACAAATTTATATATAACCGATTTGATTGATATAAAATTTAAATGTCTGAGAACTATGAAACTATACCGGTTAACCCAGAAAATGGGAAGAACAATCAGAGTAATAAAAAGGAAGAATCTTGGGGCTACGATTTATATCCCGAAAGACGGGGAACATTTAAGCCAACAGTCACTAATATATTATTAGGTAGAGAGGGAAAAGAAACTATTGAAAAGATGAAATGTGAAAAGAATGTCTACAAGTGTTTTAAAGAGAGTAAGCAATTGTAAATAAGCCACAAACTAAGACACTAACAGTTCACTCGTTTCGTAACTATGATATTATGTTTAATATTTACACAAATTAATTTTCTTTTTTCTTTTTTTAGGCCCAATGGTAAAGGTAATGTTGGCAGCACTCAGAAGCTCTGGTTGGTTAGTTTGATTGTATTTTGTTACTGAAATATTGTGTTTGATAAATTGCTAAACAATCTTTTTCTATTTACAGCCCAATTGATATAAGAAGACATATTTCTTGTGAAGTGTGTGACTATTCAGTAAGTGGAGGATATGATCCACAGTTAAATCAGGTAGACCATTGTGATTAAATTAGAAAATAAGCTTATTAGTTGTGCTGAAGAAAGTAAATTGTTCTTTTTTCATATACAGATTGTTGTATGCCAAAATGTTTCAACTAGAAAAGGTATGGTGCAAGGTGTGCTGACTCATGAGATGATCCACATGTTTGATTATTGTCGCAATCAATTAGACTTTAGAAATATGGAACATTTAGCTTGTACAGAAATCAGAGCTGCTAATCTTACACATTGCTCCTTTGTAAGTGCCTGGTCCCAAGGTGATGCCTCTTTTACAAAAATAAAGAAAGCTCATGAGGTATATTTAATATATTATTGGTTTTATAATATGGTGATAATTTTAGTTAAATATTTTTTTACTATCTAAACACTTAATTTCAGGATTGTGTTAAAACCAAAGCACTATATTCAGTACTAGCCGTTCGTCAGATAGGAAAGCAAGAAGCTGTTGATATTATAGAAAAAGTATTTCCGAAATGTTATAATGATTTAGAGCCTATTGGCAGAAGAATAAGACGAGGTTCTGAGGACATGTATAGAGCCTACAGAGAAGCATCTTACTATGGCTATGATTGATGTAGTTTAGCATAGATAACATTTAAATAACTGTAGATATGTATATGTTGCAATTTAATTGCAAGGGTAGGATTAAATAAAAAATATATTTAATTATTTAAAATAATGTCTTTTATTTCAACTATTTACATGTATATGTATTGTCTAATTTGAAAAATATTTTTTCAATACTGTCCCGTAACAGCCTAGTGATTTTGAAAAAGAATGAAAGTTAAGCACATTATAGGTAGTCTATTCAATGAAAAAGGCGAAATTTTAAAAGGCACATCACAATTTAAATCATTAAATCATTGTTGACATTGTGTAAACAATATTATGTTAATTTTCAATAAAATAAAATTATACAATATTTTTTTTTAAAATGCGTTTTTTATGTTGATGATAGATAATGATTTTTTATAGATTGGTTAACATAGCAAGAGAACCGTGAATTAGAGTTAGGTCGCAGTTATTTCTACCGATTTAATTAATATAAATACATGTATGTTTCCACTAGCACTTTCAATACACACACATTGTAGTACATGTGGGCAAAAACAAATAATTATTTCAAAATTATGAAGTAAATAAAAATAACAGTACAAGTTTATACATATACCTAACTTTTAGTGGTTTAATTAATATGAACGTTTTTTATAATTCAATATGTTATCAAATTATAATACAAATCGTAGTAAAATATGTTTTCTTGATAAAGTTTCTATTATTCAGAATTCTTTTGGTATTTATTAACCGGAAAAAAGAATTGTTTACAGTTTAATTTTTAAACTTTAAGCTGATTGGCCGGAGTAGGGTTGCCAACTCGATTTTTAGGGGATCGTACCAAACACTAGGAAAAATCGTGTTGAAAAAAATATGGTACGCATTGAAATTTCAACAAAAATACGTAACTTAACATGGAGACTAAAAAAAACAGGTCATCTATCCCGTAAAGTCCCTTGGTAACTTAAAATGAAAGTCCGTTTGTAATAAGTATTATATGAATATTAGTAAATAATATAAATAAAAAGAGTTACATTTTCCTATTTCTTAGATCGGATTACGTACATTTTGCATACGATAATCATACATCGTATTATCTGCAAATTGCAAAAAGATCGATGAATATGATTTAAATCGTACGGTTGGCATTACTGGGCCGGACATCAGTCTATAAATAAAAACAATAATTATGGAACGACATCGATGAATTTGGAATTTTGTGCATAGAAAATATTTGTGCTTATATGCCTCGAGAGTTAACGATGAGCAATAAAAGCAATTTATTTAACCACCTTAACTCTATTGCTATACAAATGACTAGACAATGAATATTCATATATTCGTTTCTTATATTTAGTTTAAAAGTACTAATAAAATATTTTAGTTTCATAGTGAATTATTTAAGTATGTACATTTTTTCTATTATTACTTAGATTTCACGAATATTTGACATTTAAAAAAAATCTTTTCGGATTCTGACGCTTTTTTATTTTAAATTTTGGTTCCCGACGTTTTGAATGCTTTACAGCAAACATGGTCACTGAAGAGACTGTTGAGACTAAAATCCGATAAGATAGTTTTATTTAAAATATTTTTCTATTCTTGGTACGAGGAACAGCACAGAATTAAAGAATTGGAAATTAGAATACCATTTTTAAATAATTAGGGCTGTCAGCGAAAAAAAACCTAAACATAACACGGACAATTTTTGTTAATTTATTTATATTTACTTGCATTTAATATTAACCATTTAGTAAATACTAACTATAGTTAACGATTTCCCTGTCCCATGAGTCATATATGAACATTTCGATTGTTTAACTATTGGTTCTATTTTGCGGACAGTTAGGCAAGTCGAGATTGTTCGTGATAGGTCAAGTGAAAATTACACAATATTTCAAAGGTATGGAATAGGCTTTTTTTGGACTGACTTCCTAATATAATTTATAAAATGGACTCTAAATTGTGTGTAGATAGGAACAGAACTCTAAATATATAGATAACAATTTACATTACCAGTTACCTAGTTAGTTATTAATTTTATTTGTCCATTTTTTAATATAATATGTAGATAGATACAACATCGCTTACAAATGAAATAAAGAATGTCTTAGATTACGTGCGTGTATTTCACACTACTAATTTAAGAAAATTGTTAGCCTAATCACAAAAACCTTTTATTTATCTAATGATACGTAGCAAAAGGCACAGTAATAAGGCGTGATAAAGAACTTTTGTCAACCTATTGAGCTCTTATGGTCCCGATGTTGCGTTATATTTATTGATATTTAAGGCCAATTTTTTTATTACGAAAATATGGATGCCACATTTGTATAAAACATTTTCAAAGTACATATAAAGTCGGTTTGAATTAACGAGCAGCAAAGAGATTTTAGCTATACCTACCTAACCAATAAAAGACCTCCTTTAATTTTATAAATTGTTAAATAACGCGCGAGCATTAAAAATTTCTATACAACGCACAAAATATAACTAAGGTGTAATAGTTAAACATAAAATCATTATCGAATATTAACTAGATTTATAATAAAAATTATTTAATAGCCAAAACAATAAAAATAATCTTTAGCATTTTTTTGATAGAGGACGTATGAAATATTACAAGTTTATACATTGTTAAACTATATATGTAGACAATCATAAAAGTAATGTAATAATGAAAATATGATTTGAATCTTGTCTTTATATACCAGTTAAAGTACATATATGGTAACACTTCGACAAGCAGATTTAAAGGACATACAGATATTGAAAATGGCCCTGGTTTCTTACATTAGACTTGATGACTTATAAAATCAGCTCCATTTTGTTGTGAATTTGCCAGTAATATTTTGTGATAAGTGAGGATATATATATAAAAACTGATGTATTTATATGTATATATGTATGTATGTTTTATTTTATAAAATTAATCATCTTTGTCCTTACATGCTGTAGAATAAAAAACATAATATATATTATATAATAATAAATAAAGATAAAGAAAATAGAAATAACATTATAATGTATAACATTTCAATAAACTTTGAAAATCTATCAAACAATGAGATATTTAAAATATTATATAACATATTAAACTTAACTTAGCTATCAACAGAGTTCAAACTTTAATCTAGCAACTTATCTTATATGTACAATTAAATGTCTTGGTAAAGAAATAGGCACATTTGAAACAGTATCACTCATGCATCGCTCGATGTGCTTCACTGAGATATGTGGTCCAGTAAATAATGATGAAAAGAAGAAAACTAAGAGGGAACAATATAAGGGCAAATTTATCAAGTGCCCCATCCTGGGCGCCACAAAACATGACGCCTCTTTCGACCATTGCCGCGAATCTTACGTAGAAACTTCCAGACGGATCACCGGCTGGCATCGTCTCCAATATTGGCGAGTCCTAAATAGAAAGCACATAATCAAACCAATTATATAAACATATGAATTTAAGTTTTACATTATACATTAGCCGCTATACTCTACCGATACGTTTTTTCTATGGACTTACATACCTGTGTGCAATGCGATAAAAGCATTGGTGTAAGGTATGTCAACTTAAGTCTCTCGCGTGGTTTTATAGTAAATAATTACACCTATATTACGAAAGCTTTTATAATACCATCTAAAGATATTTTTTCTATTGCCTAGCAATTGCTCTACAAATCTTTACAATCTACATATTATACTTAAATACAAATTCTTTTAAATACATTTTTTTACTTGTGTTAGCCTATATTTACTGTACTCAGGTGTTTCACGCATTGCCGTGTTCATTCAACTGTTTTACCTTACTAACTGTTCTCGTCTCACATCCAACTTTATTGTCTCTTCGAAGCCTTCTTTCCGAAGATGTTAACTAAAAATTTGCCTAAATTTTAAAATCAATTTTCATGTTTGCTTTGTTTTCATTTACATTAATCATATGGTTATTTATAATAATCTGTCAATAAATATGTTCAATATTATATAATTTTAAATAAATTTAACATCTTTGGACAAGTGTTAAATATTTCGTTAAACTATCTATTTTTTTACTATTGAATCAATTCATCTATTTTTTAAATCTACAAGCCATTGCTTCTTATCTTAGACAGCTGTGCTTGGAAATGTTTTTCCTGAGATATTTACCCTCTGTATTGTTTGATGAGAGAACTGTTGTTTAAGCCCTTCATCTTCTACGCTCAGTTGCGGAGAGAAAACACCACCTTGTGGCGTTCCGCTAACTGGCGTGCTTAATCTCTGCAATCGATATAAGCGCAGTATGTAAAATTTAAATTGGCGATAATATTATTATGTATTTAATATGTATATTTTAATGATCCTACGTTAAAATTGGCACTGAGGGCCAATAAATAAAAATCACAATCTGTATTTAAAAAGACGGCTTTATACACTAAGTTACTTTACACACTAATCTCATATTTCAATTGCACAATAACATTAGGCTGTTTGTTATACATTAATTTTGAACTTCATAAAGCGGTATGTCAATAGGTTCTATGACACTACGATATCATTTTAATATATTAGTAAGCCAAATAAACGAATATGTATAAGTAATATTTACAGCATGCAATAATTTATTTATTAATAATAAAAAATGCAGGGTTTATAGCGGTGCGTCTTTGCTTTGTAAATAATTAATAAGGTAATATTAAAAAAACATTGTACATAATATACAGATAATATTTTAATGCAGCGTTTATACTTTCAAGTCAGAAAAAAAATAGCTTGTAACTTATAAGACGGCGGTGTGTCGATGTATAAAAAATATTAGTTGTTTACATGAAAAGAAAGATGATCATGCTATGTATATATCTACTTATGTATATGTGGCCGATGCATAAACCAATATTCCAATATAGGATGTTTACCTGAGAGTGGTTGATATGTAAAGGCGGCGCGAGCTGCGCGGCGGAGGCGGCTCGCCGCAGGTCCTGCCGCCGTCTGCTCCAACTCTTGTCGTACCTGATGCCGAACAGCACCACGAAGTATTCAAGGAGTGCGAGGAAAACAAATATGGTGCACGAGATTAGCCATACTTCGATGCACTTTAGTTCCAGTGCGTCAGGCGAGTTCGTGCTGAAAGTTGATCGAGAATGTCTATAAAGTATAAAAGATATAAAATGAGTCTAATTTATTTTATTTCAGCTATGTCTAATTACACAATATGTTACCCAAAATATCTATAAAGCGTAATAATCAGCAATCTTTTAATAAAATTAATGGTTAATTGCAAGTTAAATATAAATGCAATAATTTTTGTTTTCAAATATCAGCAGACGAGTGAGTGAGGTAGTGACCTATTAAGTAGGTAATTTGATTTCTCTACAACTAAATTCCTTGTTAATCAGCATATTTAGTATTTTAGATATATGTTAGGCTCAAGGACTGAAATTGTGTATAATCAAAAAAGTTACCATAATGCGATGTAGCTAACTCTAAACAGTTTACAGTTGCCGTTTGTTTGGCCACAATATGAAATAACGTCAAAAGTTTGAGATGTGGCTGGAATTATTTCTGACCATTACGAGTTACGGTTAACAAGAAATGCCATAACCTGGACGTTTAGATATTCTGTTTAAATTCAAGCTTGGCGACTATATTAAAAAAAACCGTCTTTCTTATCAAATTGTTGACCCAGCACACATTAAACTTTTAACAAGTTTCATTTAACTTTGTTTTACAATCTATACATATTAAAATTCTAACTGAGTCGAATCTGTACATTAAATATTTTTTGGAAAATCATATTGAAATAGACATTATTATCGATATAGAGGCCGAATATATAGTTTTTAGAATTTTTTCTGTCTGTCTGTCTGTCTGTTACCGCATGACGGAAAAACCACTGGAGGGATTTTGATGAAATTTGGTATGATCCGGGTCAACATATAGGATACTTTTTATCGCGGGAAAATATCTCTTTTCTTAGAAAATATACACAACTGCATTGTAAGAGTATACTAATATGTAAAACCTAAAAATTTGGTTTTTGATCAACTGAACGCGGGCGGAGCCGCGGGCAATGCTAGTTCTACTATAATATTTGTTTATGTAACGTTTCGAATGCGTTCTGACATTTATTGCTATTCACACGTGTTGTAGTCAAAAATCATGAGCAACTGTCGTGATGTAGGTGGCTGTTTTTAGTTTGGTCGTGTTGGCATTTCTTTGATTAGCATTTTTGGTCTGTGACCCTAAATATTTTGTTTTTTTAGCATCCTATAAGTTCTGTATCCACTATTATTGGTTCTTAGAACTACATTTTAGTTTTAAGAAGTTAATCATTTGAGAAAAAAAAGCATATTTTTATATGTCAATCATTAATTAACTATCCAATTTTTTTGTGTATTTATAATAGAAAAGGGAAAATAAAAGTGATGTTCATTCGTAATATTTAACGTATAAAATAAAAATTACGAACGGATGTTGCTGTTCAGGTCTACAGCGTCTCATTAGCGTGTGGTTTATTTCTGCTGGCGGTTTTAGCGAGTGGTAAGTCGTATAGTCCCCTGCTCAATGACGGACGGTAGGTGTCGCTTGAGGGATTTCCCTAGCGATATCAATATACGTAACACTTAAATTATTACATTTATTCTAATAGTAGGGGAAAGAGGTGTCCATAACGGGATCAATGAACTCTATTCAGCCCTTTTTAATGTCCCACTGCTGGGCACGGGTCACCCTTCAATACGAGGGGGATCAGGCCATAGTCCACCACGCTGGCCAAGTGCGGGTTGGCGGACTTCACATGTCTTTTGAAAACTTGCTAGGTTCTCTCAGACATGCAGGTTTCCTCACGATGTTTTCCTTCACCGTAAGACAAGTGGTAATCATGTTAGAAATGATTCGCACATGAAAATATCAGAGGTGCGAGACTCGCGAGACTCGGTGGATTTGAAGTCGCTTCACTCGGTTTCCCAAGCGAGCGCGTTACCACTGAGCTAACACTGCCTAACTGCTACCAATGAACTCACACATCCCGAATTAGGAGCTTAAAACGACCTTCAGAAATTATCGTGACAGAGAACGATCGCGTACAATTTTCAGTATGACTTAGCGAGGCATATTACATTTAGCATTTTAATGTCATTATAGCGCATATTTTAATGACTTACAAAAACGTTACTTATTCGAAGACGGCAATTCGTAGCTAACAATTTAATTTTTTTCATTGAAAGGTACAGATTTTCCCTACCTAACGCTAGAAATCAACATTAGAACAGACCATCAAAAGTCATAGAGAAAATGAGTTAAGTATTCATATAATTCGAATTTTTGGATATTTTCGAATAACTTATACATAATACTATTTAATTTGTCATACTTTACTGCATATTTATTACTATTTATTTAATTTGTATATATATATTCACCTGACGGTATCAAACATGGTGACAAGCGAGAGTAGCGTAGTAACTAGCAGTACCATGCGACCCGGCACGATCTCTGGTATGACGCAGAAGCTGCCCCACGATATGATTACAAACAAGGCTGACGGCAAGTAGCTTTCTAGAAGGTAACTCCGCAGTTCGCGGGACAGTTTGATTTGCAATCTCGCTGCAGAATGCTCACCTGAAAATTGAGAAAGCTTTTTTAAAATCATGCCATGCGTTTCTATATATATTTCTTTGTCTTAAACAGAGAGTGCTATAATATAAATTTTAATTACCTGTCCAATGTTTAACGAATAAAATGAGAATGTGTGGAAAAATTAAAATATGTTTTGCATGCAATTTATAGTTCGAAAGGAGGTTTTAATTAACATAAATAACAGTTTTAAAACAATATTTATGCTTTAGAAGTGATTTTTTGTTGGTGGTTTTTGTAACTATGTTAATAGGAGAATCTTTGAAATGGGATTGCTTGCACGCGATACAGGAGCGGCTTGAACATTGTAGCACCATACTCCATATTTTTAACATTACGTATGTGTAATAATAATATAATCTCAATTTTTTTGTCATTAAGTATAAATGATATCTAACATCCTTAGTATAAGACGATTTTTGTGCTAGCGATGTCCCATCTCCTTTCAATGATTATCTATGATCTATTCGATCAACTATCTACATTAATGGTACTTGCTATCAGATAATGTGTAAAATAGCTGAACGTTATTAACAAAACACAAGCAAATTACACTTAACAATATACGATCACAATAAAATTTGCACAAGTCACGGATTTATAGACACTATAATATTGATTAATTTAACATTTCAATGAAATAGAACAAATATATTAAAGTGGTAATAATTTAAGAGAATTTGATAATTTTCTTCATCCGCAACACGCACAATGAGCGTCATGCAAGCCTACAGCACCGCGTAGCGTTAGTAGAGTACATATTAGTACAAGTGCGCAAACTGAAGCGCAAAGCAATAAGTATACATTTACCTTCACCAAAATTTCGAATATGATTACTTTTGTCGGTAACAAATGTGACCACGTATTTGGGTAGGCGGAACTCCCGGCGTTGTCCTCCAGCCAGCCCGAACCACGGCGCTACTTCCCGCCACTCGAACCGCACATCTTCTGTTGTGTATTTGTCTATAAAACCGCAGTTTCGATAAAGTTCTTACTAATATTGCAAATACGAAACTGGACATTCATATCGGTTTGTGGATTTGTTAGGTTTTTTCTTTTGTGCAGCAACGACGAGATGTTTTTGGATAGTTAGTTTATTTGCCGAACAGTTCATATAGGATTTTTATCGCAATATATATAGCTATTTTTCTTGGTACTCCTATATAAATATGTATGTAAATTGTAAAAGTACATATCAATGTTGTTTTACGTTTTTAGGCACTGAGCTGAGAATTGCTCACTGTACAATATGTATTGGTAAGGTAGAGAAGCAAATAAGGAAATCATTCAATTCTTTGCTGCATTTTTAGACTTTTGCCAAAAAGTTTTTATTTATAGGTAACATTTAAATATTATTATTCAAAAGCTTTTTACATTCAAAATAATGAACGTGCCAAATTATTGACTTTTAATTATTTTTGATTAAGTTGATTGGAAAGCTTTCAGGAAATTATTTTACTAATAAATTACCAGTATTCTGATATGGCGCTATGTCATGGATAAAGAATCATGTATAATAATGAAATGATTTTAAAATAATAATACTTACAACTGCTAAAGTCTATAGCACATTTTTGTACATCCAATGGATATAGCACGAAGTCCATTTCGCATTTAATGGTTATTGTGGCACTGGAATATGAACATCCATATAAGTATTTGACATAATAAAAACATATAATAAAATTCTGAGTCGAATGTGTTAAATATTTTTGGGAAAACCCCATTGAAATATTCATTATTATCGATATAGAGGCCGAATCTATAGTTTTTAGAATTTTTGTCAGTCTGTCTGGGAATGAATCACGAGAAAACCACTGGACAGATTTTGATGAAATTTGGTATGATGATAGCTGGTTATCCGGGTCAACATATAGGATACTTTTTACTACGGGAAAATATCTCATCTCTGAAAAACCTTTACTAGTCATTAAACCGTATCTAGGGACGAACCCGAGCGGAGCGATGGTGACTCTTTAGTACTATTATATATTGTGAATATTCGTCTTTGCTATTCCGCAAAAACTTAAATGTAACTCGAGAGCTGAATCCGCGAACATAATAAATATAAATAAATAAATATGTTGGGACATGAATACACAGCACCATCTAGTTCCATAGTAAGCTACGAGGCTTGTGTTATGGATACCAGATAGTTGATACACTACACATATTATATAAACTTTAAATACATACATATTATAAATATAAATACCCATGACTGCAGTACAAACATTCGTTCTCATCACACAATGAATGCCCCCAGCGGGACTCGAACCCGCGACCGCTGGCACAGCAAGTAGGGTCACTACACACTGAGCCAAATGTGTCGTCATACATACTTCATACAGCGGTGTGAATACAATCGCGGATTCTGCTGTATTTAACTGAATAACCATACGATAAATAAAGATTAGAAAACATTCAGTTCGATTTCCGGTAAAATTTACTTTTCCAAAATCTCATGTGATATATTGTTGGTATAAATAATTAGGATAATATTTTTTAAATTACAGTATAACAAAGAGTTGTTGTAACAATGATTAAGTAAGTGAAGCCATATTAAATACACAGTGCCTGAGGCTTAAAGGAAGTAAGGCCGTTGAGCTGGTTTTATAAAGTCATCATTTAAAATAAAACATTTAGACTAACCCTATACTGACAGAGACTGTGCGGTTCGCATATAGTCGTAATGAAGCCATTTCTTGAAGTACTGACATAATTCTCATCGTTTGTAACTGCCATATGTAGAGGTCTGGTGTCCAGATCAGTTGCCGAAACTCCCAGGGTAAATCGATGTAAGGCATGTGAGGAGGTATTTTCAAGCGCATATCTTCCCACGAAACTTGCAGGAACGCGTCCAGAGTGATCTCCTACGAATAAATTTACTTTATTTAGTATTTTTGCTTTTAATTCAAGAGTTTGTGTTTTTTTAAAGTAATTGAAATCAAAATCAATTAAGTGATATTTTTTTGCATTTCAATTCAATTCTCTTAATGGCTTCAAAGGGTGCCATTATTTTTCATCTATTATATTTTTTATTCAACTACGGGATATAGACATTTTTTATGGTTTTTGACTGTGTAACTAATAATACTTTCTTAAATTTACGCGAATATTTGACATTTGATATAAAACTATCTTTTCGGATTTTTTCCGATGATTCATTTTGGTATTTGGTTCTTTACGTTTCGAATGCCTTACAGTAATCATGGTCACAGTCATTCAGCCTCTCCTGCGCCATGATTCCTGTAAAGCATTTGAAACGTCCGGAACCAACACCAAAATAGTAAAAATATCCGCAAATAAATCCGAAAAGATAATTTTATTTAAAGTGTAACCAATTTTCATTTCCGATAAGGCCATGAAGACTAGATCAGTATATTCTATTAATACCTCTCTATTCTCGTCGACTCCGGAGACTCTGTTGACGTTTACTCCAATGTAAACTGTCGTATTTTTACCTGCAAAATTGAAATTACATTCAGACCTTGATTTACATTGAATCGCTATAAGCTGTTGCATAGGTTGTAGTCATTAGGACCATTGTCCATTTGTTAGGATACGCTATAAAATATATTTTTTTTGTTTTATATTGATTCGGGTATAAATGGGCAGTAATGCATGCTTATAGTAGCTAGCCACCTTGTATTTATTTATTATCTTGTAATTCAGACGAGTTAGAACATAATTCGATAAGACATATTTTACTGCAATTTCCAAACAATCATTTTCTTATATGACTTACCATTATTTTGATGTTTTTTTTATGAAATTGGTAATAATTTAAATGATTATGTCGCATAACGAAAATAATAGATACTGTTTCTAGTACTTGTGTGTGCTTTTTACTTTTAATAACTCATTTTTAAAAATTAAGGCACAGTCATCATTTAAGATTTTTAATCAAGCTTGGTCCATATTGTGGACCGTTAGCCTTATCAGTGGTTTAGCGGCACCCGTTGGAGATATCACCGATACGCCCGTCTTTACTATCGAGCTTGTTCGAATATAATAAAATTTAACCAAGCTACCTACTTAATGAAAACTTAACGTTTGACTTATGAATTCACAACAATATAACAATAATAATTGTTTTAAATTTTGAAAAATCCAAACATCTACAAATTGTAATAGAATTGATTCAACCAAATTAGTTAGACGTTCTAACCTTTCATCTTCTTTATTTAGGGAGGTTATTTTATATCATGTGCTATTAATTTTTATAACAATAAATAAAATTTTTAGCATACACGTGCCATGATAACAATTCTTTCTATAATAAATTACAGTTTTGAGTAATGATTGGTGGGACGGTCGACGTGTAACCGTTTCGCTGAATAATGTCCGGTCTTAAGTGGTTAGCTGTCTAGTTTAGTCAAATCATCAGCGCGTGGCTAAATATAAAACTCTAAAAATAAACACTGTTAAATATAATGAACTAAGCTAGCTAAATGGGGCGGGTCTTGATTGCGGTGTTGCCCTGACCTTTGAGTGTTAACCAGCATAGGGATTTAACAGGCTTTAATCATTTAAATTTAAAATATTGTATGCTATATATTCAATTAAGATTTGTTTTAGTTAAAACCAAATTACTTTTAGATGCTTTTTTTTCTGCTTACATAAAAAAATGTAATAGGAATATTAGCTGCTCCTTCCGATTTTTCTTGACCAATTTCTCTTTGCAATAAGATGTTAAACTTAATTTTTATACGGCTTATGATTATATAAGGATTTGCAAATTTTTTTTATAAGAAAAGCATATTAAGATTTACTTACCAGGAGGACTGTTTCTACTGTAGTTTGTTGGAAGTTCATATGAATGGTGACCCATATACAGGATCTGGCTGAAAAAAAGTTTTGCAGAAATTAAATACCTTATATATTTTAATAAAATATTTTCCTAGCAATTGATCTCAATAAGTTTACTGTTAGTTCAAAAAAAATTAATTTAATAACACTTAGGTTTTAAATAAAGATTATTTATCACAGAAACAGAGAAAAAGTTAGTTGTATTTTTTTCTAATTCCGCTAATGGTTATTTTCCTTCACACCTTGTTTCTTGTTTACTGTATGCATTGGTCTCTTATATATAAGTACGAGTACATTGTATATATGTATAGAACTTTTATTAATCTTTTATTTAATTACATAGTGCACGTAGTTTTTATTTAGTTGTTATTTAGCTACCTCAAGCAGTGATATCATTAGAATCATAGATATCATATAGAATGGGCCCTAAGTCAATTTCAGACTAAAAACTTATTATTTCTGTAATAAAATATATCTTATATAACTTTTGTACAATGTTCTTTTGTAAAGGCAAAAGAATGATTAAAATCGATTATTATTATTTATAGTCTATAATAATATATAATAATTAAGAGTAGGTATATAAAATAAACAAACACTTTTTTCTCGATAAAATTTGCTTTTTTTTTCAAATTATTTTAGTACTACCAGTAATCCGGTAAAAATAGACAAAAAATAGTGGCAGGTTAAAAATAATTCGCATAAATCTAAAAATTGGCCCAGGTCATAAGTAGAGTATTATAAAAAAGTCCCCACAGATCCTATATTAATTGTAAAAAAAATTATTCAAAGGTAAAAATATCGTTTTTTTATAACTATGCAATTATTTACAAATATTGATTTTTTACTTTTTTCCTAAGATACCTGAGATATTCTAAAAGTTGAAGAAGTCGTATTCTATGTAATTTGAACACACTTCCGCTCCATCTGTGACTGTGAGTTAGTGTACTTGGCGCATTTTTTCTTAAATTGTCTATTTTGGCCAGATTATAGGAGCTTTAATGATATTCGAATGATATTTGATTTCATGCTTTCTAATTGATTTTTTTATATTTAACGTAATTTTTGTTGTGTGTACACTTGAATCCACGTAGTGGTCAAACATTATATAGTAGGAGATCCCAATCTATGTGATGGACCCCTCATTCTTTTTCCAGACGAAATTTTTTAAACCATAAAAGGAGGTAGTTATCAAAAATTTGCTCTAGGCAAGTTTTAATTAAAAAAATATTTAATTTGTTTTTTTTTTTAAGTATACGACCTCACGAACTCTTTTCCTGTGACAAATTAGTATCAATCGAAAGTAAGGCTTGTAGAAAATGCCATCATACGTTTGGAGACTTTTTCGAACACATTACCTGACATCCAGGTATAAACAGGTAAATTAAGGTAGTTTTTGCTCGTATGGTTTTCCTGAACAATCAATTATCAAAATGTAGATAATCTTACAACAATTTTAATGATATAGGATTGTAATCCCAAAACATCTCCAGACTCCTCTAGCCTTTTTTGTAAAAAATAGCCTGGAGCAGATTTTTGGTGACGTCCTCTCTGGGTCGTGTTTGTTTATATGTTTTATGGTTTAAAAAATATATTTCACCCGGAAATTAAACTATGAGGGGATTACCACATAGATCGAGATCTTAGACTAATACTTTAAGGCGCAAATTTCATTCCAGCCGTTCGAGTTATCTAAGAAATAAAAATATTTTTCCAGCATTAAATTATTGTTAAAATGTTACTACTTTTCTGTTTTAACCCCTATATCCCAGGTAAATTTCTAAGAAATAGTTTAATTTCTAAGAAATCTACTGTTAACTGTAACGCCGGCGTTTCCGCGGTTGTTGAGGGATTAATGCTATTAATTGTGCATTCACGGTTCAAGGATTCAAGGCAGGTATCAAGAAAACCGTATAATCTATAACTTATCCGTTTAAAGAAAGACGCATGGAGCAACATTGTTGTCTAAGTCTGGCCTTCAGTTTAATTTGTATAATGAAGATTTTGCTGATGATCCGAAGATTGTAAACTATATTGTTAAAGATGTATGTTTCGTGATACTCGGCTTAGGTGAGATATTATGTCGGCTTAGAAGTTTATTTGTGGACATCTTATGTGGATAGATCTTAGTGTATGTTGGAAATTTCTTTGTTCTGGTTGGAACGTCATATCGAAAATTGAAAATCTGAATTTGTTTAAAGCGTAGTCATAAAATCATTTTTGTTAAAATGTACCTATTAATTATATTAGAGTCAATATTGACGGAGAGAAGTGAAATAAAGGAGACAAAAAACGTTCTTTTAAAAAAAAATCACCCAAAAGATTTAACTGTTGGGTGTGTTGTATGTGTAACACTATATTGCACATAAACTAAGTGTTACAGTTTATTACAGTGATCATGATCAGTTAAGATTTGTTCATATTAATGTTAATCTTGTTATGATAATGATTTATTACTCTGTAAAATGTTAGTGTATATAGTGTAAGATGTGTATTGTATATTATTATAATTTTTTTACTAAAATATTTGGGAAACATACAGTACAATAATACTTAAAGTTAATCCGATATACATAGTACATAAACCAGCGAAGTTTCCACTTATAAATGTAACATAAAGAGCACAAGTCATGTTAAAACAATAACGAATAATCTCTCTATTACTATCTACTATAATATCTATATTACTCTTTATTGTTTAAACATTTCACTAACATCTTTAATAATATAAAATGTAACATAATATCCAGCTAAACAAAACAAATGTGAATAATAAAATATTATTGATGATTTGTACTGCTATGATGACTATGGAAATAAGTAAGATTATAAAAATTTAAATTAAAAATTTAAAAAAACCCCCGACACAAATACCTAAGTTCCCTTTAAGAAGTAAAAAAATAACTCTAACCTCAATCTTAAAGTACCTAAGTATGTATTAATAATTCTTAAAAAAAAATACGTCGCGTTGGGGGAGCGCTCTAAATTATTATTTATTATCTACGATTTTTTCGGTCCGGAGCGGTCGGTGTATTTTTTTTTAGAATTATATATTAGTTACTTTAAGATTGAGTTTTTTTTATTTTGGGTCGGGGATTTTTTAAACTTTTAATTTAATTTTTTATTAATACTTTTTATAGGTATATATTTATTATAATGTAGATTTTGTTAGTAAAAACCTTGGATGATGTAGCAATTTGTGAGCTCGACCGAAGAAAACTATTTAATAACCCACATGACAAATCATCTTTAGCAGAATTGCATAGACTGAGATATAGTAATTGATACTATCACTTGACAATCGGATATCCATGTTCCAATTTTCACACCACTAATTTTCTCATCAAACGTAGCTCACTCTCGATTTAATCATCAATATTTTCTTTCCGTGCGCTTTCGTTTGAGACCCCACTCGAGTATATTTGCAGAAATTCGGTTATTCTTCCCCGCTTTCACCCCCCACAATTTTTAAACGGCTCAACTGATTTTCATCAAACATGTCTAAAAACACTCGCACATAAGTCACCTTTAATACAAAAAAAACTAAATTGAAATCGCTTGATGCGTTCGAGAGCTATGATGCCACAGACAGACACACAGACAGACATGTCAAACTTATAACACCCCTCTTTTTGCGTCGGGGGTTAATAAGGAAGACCTCTCGGGATGATATTTCTTATAAAATTTGGCTTCTTTTTATTTAATGCTTTTTAAAAACAAACCACAATACATTTAACAAGAAACTACTTTTACTTTTGTACTAAGAAACTAATGTAGGAAAAAATTAGTTTAATATTCTTATTTTTAATTGTATAGAGATTTTCAAATAAAAGAAATCGTGGGCGTGAGACGTCATTAATTTCTAAACATACAGGAATTACTAAAATCCGATTACATATTTATAAAAAAAATGTAGGACAAAAGAATGTTGCTATTTAACGAGACCTAGGCAGCCAAAAAGTTCAATTTTTGATGAGTACCACCAAATAACTCTTATTTAATATCATGATTTCGTTAACTTTAAAGAGTTTCGAGTCGTGAGAGTGAGTCGTTTGGAATCTAGTGTACCTGTTAGAATAAATTCCAAAGGTAATATAATAATATTGATTTATAGCCTATCAAATAAATAATATACTTAAAATAACCATTAATATGTAGATATAGCATTATATGCTATAATATTTCTTTGCCGGGATGCAATATGTTGAAAAAAAGCACGAATGGACTACGTAACTTCTTGATATACCTAGATTTACAGCGAAGGAAAACATCGTGACAAAACCTGCATGTTTGAGAGAGCCTAGCGAATTTTCGTAAGACAAGTGATTTTCTATAAACCACACTTGGCCAACGTGGTGGTTTATGGCCTAGTCAGGCCAGGCTTCTCGAATGGAAGCTTGTGCCCCAGCTGAACACGTTAAAAAGTGCTGAGTTTTTTTTACATTAACACGCAGCCCCATCTTGTTCCATGGTAAGCTACGAGGCTTGTGTTATGGATACCAGATAGTTCATACACTACACATATGTAACTGTAAATACATACATATTTCATATTATAAATACCCATGACTGGAATACAAACATTCGTGCTCATCACCCAAATGAATGCCCCCCAGCGGGACTCGAACCCGCGACCACTAGCACATCAAGTAGGGTTAAAACAAACAGATCCAAACATGTCGTCAAATTTACATACATACTAGATTTGTTCTAAAACCGTTTCTTTATCTCCTAATTATGCATGTAATAAACCATTTTCAATTTGTAAAATCTATTATTCTTACGTTTGAAGTAGACAAACAACATTTTAGCTAACCGTTTATAAGCGTCAGCTGTATAGGTTTAACTGCGCGTTTATGTTTAGCGGACATTTAATGCCACTATTTTCCAACCCGAGTGTAGCTTTAATATAGATTAAAAGCTTCTTGAGAATTGTGCATTAACAGGCTAGTATTCCTTTATTGACTTTCAATTCCACACTACTTTACAAATAAGGTTTATCGGAAGACAGCAATTTTTGATATTTTCTCTTTAA